ATCCCGAGACGANGGCATACGGGCGCATGGACAGCGCTTAGAGTAGTCTAAGCAAAGCCCTGTGTAGGCGAGCAGGGCAATCGCAGAAGGCGAAAGGAAGCACAATCGAACCTCGACGAGCGTAAGCCATCCATCTGCCATCTAAAAGCCTCCTGCAAGTATGCTGAACCATATCCTATCACACGCTATGGAAGCTGCGTGAGAAGCAGTCTGCAGCCTTCCATACAGAACTTGCGGGAGCGGACGGTGACAGCATCGCTCAGTGCTGAAGATTCTCATCATCGCACAACCAGCAATGCCAACGATACAGCAAAACCTCGTGGAGATGCTATTAATGATCTTGAAAGCTCATGCTTGTAGCATCAAGCCAGTGCTAGTAATAGATACTAATTCCTAACAACAGCCAAGCTACTCAAACCTAATATCCTGCAATCTCCTTCGCACAGATTTATGATCAGTTATGTAGAAACCATTCGATTATTCTGCTGTTGCCCACCAGTTTAAACAGAACTCTATTGAAATTGCCCCGCATAGCAACTTCAACCCCCACTTGGACATGCGGTGAACACTTTTATTTCTTCCATACCCCGACAAGCACTAATGGTTGCTAAACGCACGACTTTAATGCCCCAGCGGAAGCCCTGGGACTATCTTTGACTACTTCCACTTCCCCATGTCGTGTCCCCGCCGTTGAATGGGCATGGACCGCACCTGTTGATAACCTCATACGAAGCATTGGTTGCGATCCTAACATCAGTCCTCTTTACAGTACTGAGATTGTTGACGGTATGCTTTCATCACGAAAACCACAGGCGGCCGTTGCCGATGTTGGCCACAACATGCCGAGACTACTGACATGAGCTAGTGTGGTGATCACAAACCGCGATCTAGGGTTGACGCCTGCCAGGAGGATTCCCGTTGACGGCGTCGAAATTTCAGATTTCAGATGGTGGAGGCTGACAAAGTCCCTGGGTAGACCTTCTCTTACTGACCAAGATCAGAGCTCAAAGCCACCGACAGGCGAATCGCGAGATCCTACCGCGGCTTCTCCAGCGAAAGATGCTCAGTCTGACATTAACCTTAATACACTCCTCCAACACCTCAGAAAATCGCCGAACCCGTGCCGTTTGTATGCCGCCGAAGCTGACCCCCAATGTTTCGCGAGCTCCTGAGGGAGGTGTTACACCTCGTTTGCAAACACTTCTTGCGCTCACATCACCGAAGCGCAAAAGGGTTACATGATTACTTCTTCGCTATCGCTCCCTCCCGTTCACTCGTATCCGTACCGCCGTTAGAACCGATATTTAAAGAACTTTTGACCCTCGGTTGTCGGAGACGGACACTTTGAGATCCAGACCCTTAAAAGAGGATCTCTTTAAGCGCGACCCATCGTACTTAAACCCAAGATCCCAACCTATCTTTACCTTAACCCCGCTGATACTTCTGTTATCCGTGGCCCGTGAGCACCCGGCACGATTTGTAATTGCCATATGTACAAATGGAGATGTTAGCTTATGCTAGCGCTTAAACAACAGCACAACATCGCAATTCGAGTTCAGGAACGCTTCCTCTGCTAAAATCAAACTTTACGGGACGTGGGGCCCTGCGGTTTGGAATAATGCAGCACCGGAAATGACTGGCCAACACCAGTCGGAGTGTTGAGTGAACTCTTGGATGCCGAAGCCACTGACGGAAACGGGGCGGGTTGCGGGGAGGCAAACGGATACAGTACGGTATTATTGGCGGGCATCGCCATTCTTCCTACAGAGCAGAAGGCTTAAAATTGCCAGCCGTTTCGAGTGGCGTGCTCATCAACGCCTGCTTTTGCGCAATCATCCCTTTTTCCCGGCCAACCGTCTTTTGTTGTGTGCCCTCTCACATGTCTCATTTCGGTCGAAAATGAAGCTGGATTTGGCCAGGAGAGAAGATCATGACGATGCTTCCCAACATCCACTCGGAGCTATTCTAAGCTGCGGGTGTGGGATTTCAAGATTCGCTGGCGCACGATGCTGGTCGCAACTCAAGGTGCTGCTGCATCGTCAAGGCACAACGAGCTTCTGATTTGCTGCCCAACTGATAAGAAGTTCTGGTTCACCTGGTTCTTTTGCAGATAAGGCCAGGCTAGTTCAAGAATATATTAATGAAGCAGCCTTGAGAGTATATGACCGCCTGGTGCGTGCAATGTGCGACACGGCTTCTCGGTGACAATTGTGTCACAAGGAGAGGCTTTCCGCATGGCTCTCGTTCGTTCTATAGGGCAGCCTCAACACCCTTTTTTAGCGCACAAGATGTCTTGTGAATCGGGGAGACTCACCACCACCGGACAGGATATGTCTAAAACCAGTATTCGAAAGTCTCGCCCTCGATGCGCGAGCTATCTCCGACTCGGATGAGACAGCTTTCACAAGCTGCGATTAGCCCGGAGCTTTTGAAAATACCAAGACTTCTGGTCATCTTCTGCTTGTGTTGTGGTTGAAGCGATCGAGCTAAGTACTTGCCGTCTACAATACCCCTCTTAGCTTGAATAGCTATTCTCGACCCCCCTTTCTTCCCTTAAGCGCTGCTCGCGTACGATTGTGGTTCTCACCGAAGGAAACCAACCTCTTCTGGTAAGACGATCAGCGCGCTGTGTGGCACAATCACCAAGTCCCGATCAGATAAGGGTCCTCAAGTCGTTTCCTCATACAAACGTAAGTAGGTCTGCGCTCCGTGGGCTTTTCCCATCAACATGCTGGGGGACACAAAGATGATAGCTTGATAGTGCTGCTATCGTAAAGCATCCTGGCGCACACATATATATGCCTGTATGTGATTGCTGTGACACCGAAGTGATGGCCCGCGCAATCATAACTTCATAGCGATCATAAACGGCTTACACCAATCAACTCACTCGTGATTCTCGATTTCAGCTTCCAGCATGCCCCTGAAATCGATGCGAGCGAGTCAGCCGAGTGAACCTCTGCCCGGGGAGGATGTGCCAGGGATTAACACCTAGAAGGATTCGAAAGCTGCACAGAAGGTTTTCCAGCCACAGAAGCAAGGGAAACCGCCAAAAGCACGACACGGAATTCAGTAAGCTCGAACAGCAACCCTGCTGCCGGAACGCCTCAAAGCCGATAGCATCGCCAGAGGACCAATTACCTTTTAGGTTCGAGATGTGACCCCTGGACTGTGACCTGCAGCGAGACTTACGGGGCTTCTAACAATCCCTGTGAACTGCTCGAGATCGTGAAAGTAGGTATTTGGCGATGCCCTCTTTTTGAGCGCTGGAAGCATTGCGATTGCTGGACGTTTGATTTCGAGTACGTAAACTGTTCTTCTTTTAGGTTTCAGTCCCTCCATTTCCCCAGAGTCCGCTTTATCGACTTGCGCTTTCCTAGTCTAGTTTCAATACAGCAGACTTCCCCGCAATGTCCAGGACGCTTGTGAGGAACCAAATTTGTCCGGTGATGTTGAACTGTCGCTCTCTTCAGGTGCCGCTGGCGCATGCTTCGATCTCGCGTGGAAGTTGGTGAAAGTTGGAAAGCAAGCTCTTACTCAAGAGAAAGGTCGGTTGTGAATAACTGACTAGTACTTAGCCCTTCAAAGTCGCATATGATCAAGTCGCTCGGGCTCTCATACTTCCCATAGGATTATGTTTCGATCGCGGAGGTACATGAGACTGCTGCTAATCCACAATGATAGCCTTTCCTTCGCCAGTCATATTTCGATGCGAGAAATCCGAAGTATTCGACCTCCTAGCTTCAGGGGTTTAGTTCTTGAGCTTTCTTTCTTGCACGTATCATTGGGTAGTTCATACGATATGTAGTGACATCTCAAGTGCGTGATGCGCCAATGATGCTGGAAAAGGATTGACATACTTGTCAGTGGTACAAGCATCGAGGCAAGCATGGCACATCTTAGCACCAAGGATTTCAGGTACAAGAATATACAGTCAACGGCGTAGCAGATGACATCTGGTAGCGGAAGAGATCTAAAACTGGATATTTCCCATCTCGTCCTTCGCTCACGCCGTCTCCGTCATCCTTCAGCAAACTTGTTTTGTTTCACATTCAAAATCATCAATAATTGTGAATCAAAACTTCGCAACTTAACGTAAAACTAAAGAGCAGTTATGGTGATCATGTCTACGAGGTGTTTCTGGCAGTGGCGTTCTGCTAAGGGGATGGAACGTTACGTCCCTCGTGCACTGCCACACGGTCAAGCGACACCGACATGTGATCTTTCTCCTTTCATGAACTGGAGTTTGGCAGTGATGGAGGCATTAGACTTTGGCGTCATATGCCATAAGTGCTTTTTATCGTTTTGGAGAGACACTTGCGATCATGGCTCGGAGCACTATCGATGATGATCAAAGAGTTAATGATTCGTCCAGGTTGCACATACATGTAGGTTGCCTACTGCTTACCTCGATGACTACCTCCACATGATTCCTTCCAAGTACATTTTTGTGGTTGTCAAGCTGCAAGTGTGCGAGACAATTAATCAATTTAAGTGATGGTGGTTTGCTATCGAATATTGTCTCATGCGCGTCTTGTGTAAGATGGTGTAAAGATGGTAGGTTGACACATTGCTGATGATGAGATTCTGCTAAGGGTGTCGTTATTAGATTGCATCCAAACTGTGAGGCTTCTATTTCGGCATCGAGGCTGTGGTTTGACACAGATAAGAAGATGTATTGATGAATTGATGGCGAGGAACAATGGGTCCCAAAGTGATGGGTCGGGAAGTAGCGATTTTGGTATGTAAACAGCATCTAAAACTAAATATCTCTTTAGTATCCAAAGTTAGTTGGATTTCACCGCTGATGATCAAGTGCAAGAAGAAGCTCAATAAACTTCGTGCAGGGAAGGAATGCAACTTACACCGCCTTCTAGCAGAACATGAATTCTGCCACCGAGGCGGTGTAATGTTCTCGGCCAATGAAGACTTTGGTTGCCAGGGGCGACCACAACTCCCATTCTATGTTTACTCTGGTTGCGCGGTAAGACATTTACATTTTCGACATCCAACGCCAAACGACCAACAACGACTTCGACTTCGACTTCGACTTCGACTTCGACAACATTCAACAAAAAAAAAGACTTTCACTAATGGCACTTGGTATCACAATCTTTTTCTAACGAATATTATACGACGCGCTCTACGAATTTACTACGCAATGTCTGACAAGGTGGAGGATAAGTATGGGGATCGGTTTGAAGTTCTAGAGAAGATTGGTTAGTTACACGTACTAGATAATACTTCCATATCTAACAATCTCCCAGGCCATGGATCATTTGGTGTTATCCGAAAAGTTCGCAGGAAGCAGGATGGTCAGATACTCTGCCGGAAAGAAATCAATTATACCAAGATGTCGCAGAAGGAAAAAGAACAGTTGCATGCAGAGTTCATCATCCTTGCTTCACTGCGACACCCGAATATTGTCGGTTACTATCATCGAGAACACATCAAGACGACATACGACCTTCACTTGTATATGGAATACTGTGGGAATGGCGATCTCGGCCGAGTCATCAAACAGCTCCAATTGAAGAAGGAATACGCCGAAGAGGGGTTTGTCTGGAGTATGTTCGCGCAGCTCGTGGGTGCTCTATACAGATGTCATTATGGTGTAGACGCGCCGGAAACTGGGAGCAATGTTATGGGTCTGGGAAACTCAGCAAAGCCACGCGCGCCAGCCAATGGGACTATGATTCTTCATCGAGATCTGAAACCCGAAAACAGTAAGTTTAGTGAAGGAGAATCTTCTGTCATCTTCTAACACAAATTCAGTTTTTCTTGGAGAAGATAATTCCGTGAAGCTCGGGGACTTTGGACTTTCGAAAATGATGGCATCGCATGACTTTGCGTCAACCTATGTTGGGACGCCGTTTTACATGTCCCCAGAAATCTGTGCTGCTGAGCGGTATACACTCAAATCTGATATTTGGTCTTTGGGCTGCATTATATACGAGCTCTGCGCCAGGGAACCACCATTCAACGCCAAGTCACACTTTCAGCTTGTTCAAAAGATCAAAGAAGGCAAAGTCGCGCCACTACCAGCAGTCTACTCGCCTGAATTGAACAATGTTATCAGAGACTGCTTAAGAGTAAACCCGGAACGAAGACCGGATACAGCTCAGCTGATCAATATCCCTATGGTCAAGTTAATGCGAAAGGAGAAGGAGGTAGTGGACTCTGCCCGGGAACTAAAGAAAAAGCATGCCCTCGCAGACCAAAAACAACAAGAACTTGATCAGCGCTTGCAATTTTCAGATTCTGAGAAATTCAATTTGCGTCAAGAGATAGACGCAAGCGTGCGCCGCGAATGGGAGGTGAAGGCCAAGTTGGAAATCAGTCGCCTTGTACAGCTTGAAATCGAGCAGCTTCGAAGTAAATTCGACGAAGAAGTTAATTCAAAGGTTCGAGCCGAAATGCAAAAGAGATCAACAACGCCAGATCTGAAAGCTGCGCGGCTGCCGAATGTAGCCCCAATACCGGAGCAGGCGTCAACTTTATCGGACTCTGAGCCATCAGTTGGCAACTCGTCTTCGTCAATTGGAAGTAATGGTGAGAGCGAATTTGGGTCATCTACTGACTTGACCGATATTTCCACCGATTCACCTGAGACTATACAACCAAAGAAGAGAAGCACGCGTACGCCATTGGCTCGAGCGCAGACCATTGGTGGATTTATGGGGACCCCGATGGATGTTGAGATGGGAGAGCCGTCGCCAATAGCTATCGCTTCTCTTTCCCTGTCACCTCGAAGAGGGGAAGCAACCAGAGCTCCAACTGCAACACGTAACATTTTTGCTGCTGCCGCTGGACAAGAGCCTCGTATGCAACCAATTCTGATGAATTCAGATTCCGAAGATGATGATGTACCAACTCTACCATCTCCAACAAGACCAAAGTCATCCAAGAATCCTTTCAAGCCTGTGAATCGACCTGCCCTGATCTCACAAAAGACTGCACCAGTCAACAAGCAAGGGTTTTCGAGCATATTCAATGGCGGAAAGCCACATACGGGAGGCCTTCCAACGCTTTCTAGTGCGCCAGATCTTCGACCATCAGCGAGTAACAGCTCCCTCAAGGACAGAAGCCCTTCACCGAATCGACGAATATCCAAGATTCCATCCTCGACAAATCTATCATCTCACGACAATCCCCCAACGTCACCAACAAGGAAAAGCAGTCTGTCTAAGAAGACTAGCGGGGCAGAAGATCTTAACAAGCTTGCAATGAAAAACAACATGACCAAGGCTGTCATCGGGGGACCTCATGCACCAAAAGGAAGAACTCTCGTTGAATTGGCGCAGGCAAGAGCTGGTGGTAGACCAATTGGTGATGGGAACCGAAGTCCAGAGCCTAAGGGACGAGCGTTCGCTCAACGCATGGCCGACAAGGTTGCTTCCAGAGATCAAGAGCCAGCGGTTTGGGACCCTGAACGGGAGGAGATGCCAAGTCCTTTCCTGTCGAGGACAAAAGATTTCAAGAGATTTTAAGCGCTTACAGGTTCGGGGTTGCGCGGAAGGGGGCAACGGATGACTAAATGAAAGGGACTGAACGAAGGGCTGGAAAAGACCACAGGGTTGGAGAGGGATGGAACAAGCAGGGAAAACACTCACACACCACGCAATCTCCTTTGTAATGGCATATATGCATGAAATCGGACGGGGAAAGTACACAGGGCTTGGTAGGATTTGGATTAGCGAAGTCCAGTTCCTTGTGTCACACTCTTTGGATGAGTGCGTCTGGATTTTTGTATTTTGGCGTTGTTGGCGGCATGATGTATGCTTTTTGTTCGTAGGGCATCATTGTTGGGAGTTTTTGTTCCTAGTTAGGGATTGGTTTGGAGATTGAGGCAGCCGTTATAAAAAGGTTTGCCGGTTTTTTAGAGAAGAGATTATATCAAGCGGTTAGAAGATGTTCTTCTTGATTCTGTGAAGGCGAAATGAGTACAATACGTGCTAAAAACACAATTGGCAAAATAGTACTCTTCAACAAACGAACGCCATTCATTAAACCCATCATATATCCAGAGTATTTCTGGTTATTCGACAGGAAGCAATCACTCAAATATAATCACGTGCGATACCACAAGTGGGGCGCCCCATTAAAAAGTTTCTATCAAAATATTCTTATCAGAAGCCCGCCCGCAATCAATCAACGACCACCACAACGACCACGCAAAATCAGCAATCATGGGTCGCGAATTACAGAAGAAGAAGCGCAGATCTTCGATTGCGAAGATCAAGATGAAGCCGAAGAGCAAGAGGGTTAATCCGTTGGGGAATCCGATTATTGCTGCGAATTGGTAGGTGCTTGAATGCATTTTCTTGAAAGAAACTTGGGATTTCGTGGATGGAGTGGAGGGGAGAACGGCTTCGTAGAAATGGGCGCATTTGAAGGGCGCATTTGAGGAAATGGAGTAGGGGAAGGGAGGTCGGCATGAGATTCATTCTTGGGGATTGATGGGATTCGTGTTGAATTTCTTCTGGGATATTTTGAATTGCGCATTGCGACAGTACCATCTTTCCCCGAACTCATCTAACAACCCTTTCTAGGAACCAATCCGAAACCCTCACCCAAAACTACCGCCGTCTAGGCCTAACATCCCGTCTCAACTCCGCCACCGGCGGCGTCGAAAAGCTCAAACCAGGCGACATCTCCTCCTCCTCCACAACCTCCAAACTCGCCATCTCAAACGCCATCCCAAAGACCTTCACACCGACCGAAGCAACCGTCGAGCGCGACGCCAACGGGAAAATCATCCGCGTCATCCACGCCACTTCCAAACCTAACCCTCTCAATGACCCATTAAATTCCGACTCGGAAGACGAGATTATGGATGATGGTGAGACGTTTAATGGGTTCGACGGAGAGAAGAATGAGATCGTGAAGCAGCTGGAGGATATGGCGGCGAGAGCGCCGGAGAAGAAACCAAGGAAACAGAGTACGAGGGAGAGGGAGTGGTGTGAGCGGTTGGTGGGGAGGTGGGGGGAGGATTATAAGGGGATGGAGAGGGATAGGAGATTGAATCCGATGCAGCAGACGGAGGCGGATATTAGGAGGAGGGTTGGGAAGTGGAAGACTTGGAAGAGTTCCGGGGGTGGTGAGGAGGTTGAGGCTTGAAACTGCATATTTACTTGGGGTCGCGAGAATGTGGCACTTGATCTCTGGCGTTTGGGCGTAAGGGGGAACGAAAATCTGGAAAGTTCCACTTCGAAATCCGTTCATCTATATCCGTGAGCAAGAAGTATGGATACTATTGCATATAGTACCCGTTCAAGGTTATCTCGGAGCCTTCACTCCGGTAAGATCTAGATGTCTACTATCTATAGGGCATGCTGAAGAGTCGTGGGTCAGCAAGCTGTCGGAGAGCTCCTCTTTAGGTTCTGGTCTGCGAAGCAGGTTCAAAGTGGTCAGGTCTGCCTAATTTATCCTGTCATATGTAGAGAAAAGCAGATTTATACTCATAGATCCGAGAATTTATGTACCAATGATTTTGGATTACTTGGCTGTTACTAAGGTGTGTTACTGTAGTGTACATCATTGAGCTTTCGTCTGTTAGAACTGCCTAGGTAACTCATAAGTCTACTTGAAGGGCGGTATACCACTCTCTAGAGATGATAAGATATGTGTAATATGCTCTGTGAAATTTTATTTATGTTTGACAATAATGCTGTATCGGAACACACTCTACAGATACATTTTAGGATATGATGCAGAAAATAGTGGTCAAGTCTGAATGGAATCTAGATGCTCAAGTATTCATCTACGTTAGCAATGGTATCACGTACTCCCAGCTCTATTCACAACCTACGAAATCTCCCATCACTAGCAAAATAAAAGTCACATCAACTCTCTATCGGCGGTACAGGCGTAACTTTCTTCACAACCCTTGCCGGCATCCCCATAACCACACTCCAAGGCTCCACACTCTTCGTAACCACGCTCCCAGCCGCAACCGTACATCCCTCCCCGATGCTCACCCCGGGGAGGATAACCACGCTCCCGCCAATCCAGCAGTCATCCCCAATACTCACTTCGCGCGCGAACTCGATGTTGTCCCGGCGGGACGCGACTTCCGTCTCGTGGGTGGCTGCGTAGATGGAAACGAAGGGGCCGAACATGACGCGGTGCCCGATGGTTACTAGACCGCAGTCGAGGATTGTGAGACTGAGCGGTGTGTTAGTGAGAAGGGGAAAAGGGAAGAGGAAAGAGGAAAGAGGATGAGTACTTTGTGTTCGCATAAAACCGATCACCGATGCTAATATTACACCCATAATCAAAATAATACGGCGCTTCAATCCAACATCCCTTCCCCAACTGTCCAACATGCGATCTTAATATCTCTTCTCGTTCTTTGCCTAGGGATGTAGGAGTCGCGTCATCCGGGAGGTGATCGATGTATTTCTTTTGGATTTTGCGCGAGCGCAGACGTGCTACTTCGAGGATTTCGACGGTGGAATCGTAGCTATTGGGTATTAGTTGAGAAAATGGAATGGGAGATTGAAGGAGCTTACAGCATGCCAGAGATCATACGCTCGTATTGTTCGCACCATGGGATGTTTTCATACTGTTTTACGCGGTTGATGAGGTCTTGGTTTTTGGATTCCATAGGGACCAGACCTGTTGGTTTGATGGCGCCGTTTGGAGGTAGTGCTGCCATGATTATCGGTGTTTTTGTTTCCAATATGACACGCAATTTGATATACAAACCCAAGGGCAAAATTCTCAAGGTATTCGAGCTTGTGAAAGTGTTGAAATGGTGGATGTACTCCCACTTTTGACATTCGAGAAAATTACCACAGGCCTGGTGAGCTTCTGCAGGCACACAAATGCGGGGTGACGATGGAGGGGCACATCTCGGGTTGAACCCGAGCACAACCTCAAGCCATGAGGCACGAGCCGCTGGACAAGGGAAGCAGTGGCGCTCCAAGATGTCGATCTCACAATTGTCGCTATCCTAGAAGTGGAAAAGACCCAGCAAGGATAAAATTAACTAAAGTGCGGGTGCTGCTTTGTTTGTTGCTTTGACGGCGCTCGCGGATGTCGGGGAAGGTCTTATCGCAAACTCTATCTCTTGCTCTACTGCAGAGTAGCGGATGAAGCTATAATTGACCAATTTGGCGACTTCAGATGGCCCGACAGCAGAGTCGATGATCGGTCAAAGTAGCCAAGAGTGCCTGGAAGCGATGTTGAATTATTGAGAGACTATGGCGGAGACGACATAGGAAGTCACCAGTCGCCAACACATACCAAATCGATCAGAACTCGCGTAAGGCCTTCTGAGAGCTTTCGCTACGGAATTCAAAATACACAAAACTGTGTATTCAGTTGATTGTATTACCTTCTGATGTTCGTGAAAACCCGATATGGCTGAAATTCCATATTCCAGCTAAAGGAGTTCGCGAAGCCACTGCCAGTTCCAGAATTGCTCGACGACAGCTATTAGAGCAGTTCTGAGGGTCAGATATTGCTATAAGACTAAATTCGAGAACCGATTGAGTAGATGGATTGATAAAATTTCTATCCATCAAGACATGACCTGTACATGAAATGTTTCAAAAGTCTAAATATCAGGTGGAATTGAGACACATGATTATAATTGTTTCGGACGGTCCATCAAAAAGCTATTAACACTCTGAAGCGTAGCTCTATTTGGATTCCCATCAGGCAAAGCAGTAGAGATCCAACCCAATCGACTTCGAATGAAAGCTTTATCAATGCGCGTGGTACTATGCTTGCTCATCAACCGTCCCTGATCGTCAAAGAACAAGCACAAAAGCGCGAGCGCAACGGCTATGGAAGCGTCTTTACCATTTTCGCATGCAACGAGAATTCGAGCTTTTGACATATCGACACGAGACAAGTAAGACTTTAAGAAGTCTATGATGCTGGGTAGAGCAGCACGCAGATTTCGACTTCCAATCTTGTGCGGACCAATGCCGATGTCAAGTCTGGTGGGAGAAGTATTCCATGTGCTTGACTCTGTGACTGTAGGTAACAGATTGATAATCAGGATCTCAGTACCAACACTTGTGGCATCAATTCCGGTTAGTGATGATACGAAAAGGTTTGAAGTAGGTTTGACAAGGCGCATCTCGCTGCCCGTCGCCTTTTCTTCAGCTTTTTGACTGACCAGAGTCTCAATCAATTCCGGCAAGTCCCCTTCAGGAGTTGATAGCAAAATGTCGCGATTCTTCCAAAACACAACAGGCGTCAAACCAAAAGCCCAATTCTCAGTATCGTCTCCCGCGCCTTGGATGTAACCGCCTTCACTAACCTCTCCGCCTGGCACTCGCCTTGAGACGGTACAGCATATAACAGGGTGGAAGTCTTCGAAGATGGACGTGGTTGGTGTGATGTTAGACTCCGGTGTCACCCACATGGGTCGCAGAGGTTTTGTAACGCTCTGGCGCAATGCTATGAGAGGCACATTTAAAGCTTCGAGAGCTCGTTGAAATGATGGCAGACGCGCGAAGATCTGCGCGTGTTCGGATGGTGAGATGACCTGTGGAGGCGTATATAGGTCGTGTGACTCGGTATCGCTGGGGAATAGGACTCGATTGACGACACTGCACCATATTGGTATTGTCTTACTGAGCGCATCGGGCATTCCTAGAAAGCTTAAGACGACGTCCTGGAGAGCAAGGAGACGACCTACTCTTCCCTCGACGCGTAGAGTCCACAATAATACAGCTATAACCCGTTTAGCATGCAATTGACCCTGCAACCCTTTCGTACAAACCCATCATTCTTCCCAATCACATCCAACAAATGCAGATTCAACCTCCTCGAACTAAACTTCCACACCCCAGTATGTCCATCCGTGCTCTTAAAGTACGCGCTCCCGCACTTCTCGTCTGGTTTAATGTACCAACTCCCGCATCTCTCGTTCGCGATCAATGGTCTTTTGTAGGCGTCCCGTACCTTTCTTGCGAATGCGGCATCTTCCTCAATTGATCGAAGCCGGTTATGGATCGATAGAGTGGAGCGTTTCAGCTCGCCGAGAGTCTTTGAGAAGTTGTGGTTCGCCTGTTCCGAGAATATCAGGTCTGAAGCCGTTGGGTGGCTCATGGGGAGTGGTGTTGCGAGGTGTACGGGTGCGTTGAAGGCTTCGTCGATGTGACGCGACAGAGTTGACTTCGACATTGAGCGAGGTCACGTGCCTTATTCACTTGCTTTTTGTATTTTCTCAACCTCCTGTCCTTTTGTTAGCATCAAATCAAATTCTTCTGTTCTGTGTGGATTTATTCCCACTGAGCTCAGGTTATTACAAAAATTTTATGGCACCTTCCTGATTCAAAATCGTTTGCCTTTTCAATAAAATAGTAACAGTGTCTATGGTCCAAAGGGCTATCTTTGATATACGGTCTGCTACTCATAAGGCGGTACCGAGATGATTTTGATTGCAGTTTAGGATGTCTTTGGTTTTATAATGTACTGAAAGCATCCAGAAGAAATGAGAACACCACTGTGTTTTCCGAACTTAAATTTATTCAATATCCTTACACGCCTTCTATCTGGGTATCATTCTAAATGACGAAGTACAATTACAGGCATCAATATATTTGGTTTCGTCTTCTCATAACCAAAACCGGATTGATACTGGACAGAGATGTTCAACCTCATGAAAGCGAATCTGCATTCTTCAGGATTCTCATTTCCCATGTAGCGACTCCATCTCCTCTTTCTTCTTCTTCCACCTCGCCGTCAACTGATCAGGACCATGTATCCAAAATTTATCATGAAGACTCGCTACTCCTGCGGTGATATCCTGAATGCCCGGAAAAGTAGCACTCCAGGTGTAGTTGAGGGATTTCCAAGGCATACGGCCATCCCTACGATGGGTATAATCAAACATTGCTTGTTCCATAAATTGCGGATCAAAAGGTCGGAAGAGTCCATATGTCGAGCTTTGCATCACGGACATGTAATAGTTGAATAACTCATTTGATGGTGCCGCAACCCAGAACCCAGCACTTAATTGATCCCTCTCCATCGGAGGGATTGGATGCTCATAGTTACCACCATTTGAGCCGTCGTTAGATCTTCCATTATCTGGCCTTGCGGCAAAGACGTACTGGGCTGGCGGGACGAGAGGTCGATCGTTTTCAAAGAACGATGGATTTGTTGTCTGAGTATCTGATGGCTTGCAAGCCTCGTCATTGAAAACTCCATCTAGTGATTTCATGAGAAGCGTGTCTGCATCTAGATAGAGCACGAGATCATACTCCAGCATTTGGAAGATCCGAAGTTTGGTGAACTGGTCTCCAAAGCGCGAGGGTCGTCGGAGTCGTTGTCGAATCCACCATGGAAGAGGAACGTCCTCGACATATACTACGGTTGCTCCATCCAGAGCAAGTCGCTGGCGTTGATGCTTGGGGACTAATTTCGTAACCATCACCACGAAAGGAATTGAGTGATTTGTTTTTGTTTCCTGGTCCGAGAGCAACTGATATGACAATACCCTCGTTGCTGTGAAGTAGGAATCATCATCGCTGGTAAGGAGAGTTGCAAATGCGTAACGTTTTGAGGTGAGATTTAGTTTGCTGGTGTTAATCTCATGTGGTGTTGAAGGTGCGCTTCCACCCCCGAAGAGATATAGAACGACGCCAGCAATCAGAAGACTAATCCAGATTGGTCTTCTCCGTCCCATTCGACCAAGAAAGGTTGCGAGGTTCGACATTCGGAGGTTTCCAGATCAACTACCCAATATTGGTGCGCTCTATGCATTGTTTGAGATATCCGGATGGGTGAGGTACGCAATGTAACCTTCACGTAAATCTCTGAATTGACCGGCTATTGTCCTCAAATGGCCATCATCGTATCGAAATTTAAACTTTCATTCCGAAGCATCCGTTAAGGTTAGGGACTAATCCAAGCAGTCAATGCGTTGGTGAATGCCCTAACTAACATTGATTAGACCAAGCCCACATACTCCACACATCACCTAAGTTGTAGTTTACATCATCTTCAACATCTCTCACGAAGCCCATTCTTCACCACTTTTCCGCGTCGCTCTACCATCATTGTTTTCGGCAATCCGACTGACAACCATTCCTGTCGACAAGGCGGTTGATCGACTTCTGAGGACCACTGTTGGTGAGCGTCATGATCAGTCGAATCGGATGGTGGAAGGCCGCCAGTCCTGCTTGAGGATCCGGAGTGTCTCGTGAAATTCACATCTCCATACATGAAGAAATCATGAGGCGATCGAGTTGAGTCTTTGGACCTGGCATCGTCGCTGCAAACGATGGGATGTGTGCAAGCCGGGGCATATCGAGATTTTCCTGGGCGCCACAGCTGAAATCGGGCAGCAAAGTCCTCGTTCAAATGGCCAATGACCTTTCATAGCAAGAGTTTCATTCTCTCTTCGACTCCCCTTCACACCGTCGTCGGCGCCCAATTTGTTAGGCGATAGTGAGGCTGCTGGTCAAAATTAAAGCAGCACGCGCCTCCAACGCGTCTATGTCCGAGTCTGTACCACTTGATGAGATAGAATTGGACCCTCCATTTCCGTGGCGCCTGAGCATTGCTTCTTGGAGATAGGAAAGCTCTGCTTCGTTGAGAATGTGCGTCCTGGCAAGAAGTTGTCGACACGGTAACAATGCCGCTTTACATGAGCATGGTGCGTTTGCCCCCATGGATTCTATTGGCGGTCATCATTTATATCAGGTCTTGGTGTCTCAAGGCTGCCGTCACGACCTCTCCTCTCCTTTCAATTCTTTGTCAGGAGCAGCCTCACTTGATTCCATTCATTCCAAACCATTTCATCTGAATCTTACCTGGTAGCTGATCAATATATAAAAGCCTGTACAGAACAAGTCCGAGCTCGGTCGCGGTAGGTCAACTAACGATGGATTCCCCAAGTGCTTCTTCAGCAACACTATCCATTCATTCGGATGACATGACCGATACCGACAAGCTAATCCATCATGATCCGCCAGGTGTATTCGATGGGCCCATTGATTTTGCTGAATATGCTCAATTCAATATCCCCGAAGAGTACCTCGAAGCAGTGCAAGAAAACTCACTCTCGCCATCGATGAGAGCAGCCTCTAATGCTGACTGTCGCATTTTAAAAGCTTTACTACAGAAAGGCTTCTTTTACTTTATCAAATATCCAGACCGCAATTCTCATTCCGATAACGAATACCCTCATCATCACGAATCAGATCATCGTCTTGCCCATCCGTCAGAATTCGGCTTCAGTGCACTTCGGTCAAACGGTCGCAATGAGATTGGCATCACGACACCATTGATGGAAGCGCTACGAGCACGCCTACCCGAAAATGTCAGAACACTCCTCATTGCGGGGGCCAATCCTGATGGTGTACCAATTCACATCCTCGAAGCCCATGCTGCTTTGTTCCTACGTTTTCGACCCAGCATACACCCGCTCGAATACGGTAGCAAAGATGCTGCTACGAGATCAGAGTATCTGAGGCTCATGGATATCTCTCAAATATCAAGCCTGACGAAAGAAGAGGTGGATGATCGACGTTGGGACGGTCTCGCACCTTTCTGGTGCGAGGAGAGGTTTACTCCCTCAAGCTTTTGGAAACATGGCGCATCGATGCATTCTCTCGTGGAAGCTGCAGGTCTGGGTGACGTTGAAGACTTCAACTTGCTATTGGAATATGGGGCCGATGCGAGTTTCTGGATGACACCTCATCTATTTGTTCCTGAACCACCATCTTCGAGCTCACTCTGCATATCGACGCCAATCCATGCAGCGATTGAACATGGCAAGCATAGCATGCTCCGTCATATCCTTGATCTAGGTTTTGATCCCAATACAATGGCACTTGCAAACCCGACAAGGTGCGTGACCCCTCTCATGGCTACCCTCCTGCATCATGATAGATTTGATAAAGAGTCATTTGATATGCTCTCCATGCAGCCAAATATCAATTTCGAAATTCGCACTCCAATCTACGGAGTCCACCTTCTACATTTTGCTGTTGCAAAATTAAACTTTACGATGTTAAGGCATGTCGTATCATTCGTTCCACTGAGGAACGCAGGTACCACGGCTATAGGTCATACGTTGCTGCACGTCGCGTGTATGCCTTCGAGAAATGTGCAAATTCAAAGACGATCTGATATAATCATGAGAAGTATTCATGAAACACGAGACACTCGCGCGGAAAATGACATCAATGCCGTTCCAGCTGTTGATAGCAACGCCCTGCCACATCCTATAGATCTCTACACTCAAAGTTCGATCATGAAGTATCTGTGGAACAACGGTGTGCAAGATATTGATAGCAAAGACGTTCACGGTAATACGGCACTACATTATTTGGCAGGTTGCCGAGCCGTAAACCACCTCTTGTTTGAATGGTTCCTCAAGATAGAGGATGTTGAGGATGTTTGGTATCACAGTGAGAACGACCAAATGGCTACTCCAGCAGATCTCCTTGATGCGAATGAACGAGTTTCATCGAATTCTTCTCGGTCGTATCCTATTACCACACTTGACCGGCAATGGTCCGCCTCAAGGGCTGCGAGGAAAGAGGAAATCTGGGACGAGCTCCTTGATGGATTACGTTGAAAATGTGGGTAAGGTTGGGTTTGAGCGGCTTTCTCGTTATTAGTCCATTACTGTGGGTGGAGTTTTTGATATTTCGGAACGGTCGGTCTTTTCACTGTCACTTCTGTTTAGTCTATGGAGGTTTTGAAATTGTTTTTTCTTAGAGGGTGGGTAAGTAATTCGCAGATGGGATCAAATATTTTGGTTCGAAATTTTAGGAATTCGCGTCAGTACTGGCTGGTCAATTGGTGTGAAAATTCCCTAATAATTGATGTTTGGTAAAAAAATACTTACACTACCCTAAATCAAGATCTTTCTGGTGGCGTTTGTTAACCTTCAAACCCAAATTGACTTCATAGCCAAAGCAGATATCTTAACTTCCAACGTTCTTTTTACTAGGTTTGTCATTCAACCCCAAACTCAGAGAAACTCAATTAAGTCATCTTTAATTTTATTAGAATGGGAAGCTCACTAATCTTGTTGCACCAGTCACTGGAAGCACCTTCCAATACTGACATCAAAATCTATTAGGCAAGATCAAGGCAGCATTTGATAGTTACCATATTCCTGCAACTAATATTTCATGGCTTTCATATCATAACAAAGTTGCTCTGTACTGCATGTTTGCTTGCATGAGGTATGCATAGTCTTTCAGGTCAACCCTACAAGCATATTAAACTTACTTGATATTGAGAGAGCAGCAAACTTTCAACGGAGATCTCTCAACTGTGCGTTTTTTCATAATCATCAATTTTCGCGAATATCTGAAAACTTCAAAAAGCCAGACCATGTGCCCTCTTGTCGTTGCCCACCATCGTAGTGGTTCTCTCAAAATGGCAGGAAAGACCAGCACGACCGACATACCTTCACCGGGTCGCGACCTCGCTCGCAACAGCACCTCTTCTGTATTTACATCCGCGCAATCAACAACAGAACCCGTCCAAGCCACACAAACAAAATCCAAAGTTGCCAAGCGTTACACAAGCACAATCGAAATCCAGATTCCGGTATATCGACATTCGAAAATGCCTTCGAATTTCCAAAACAATGCGCTCATGAGGGCACGACTGCCTCCTAAACCACCTCCTGCAAAGGATCAGTCTCAGGATAAGGACTCTGACTCATCTGGTCAATATTCCACAACACCTTCCGAGGTACCGGGCAATACCAGAGTAAACTTCCGCATTCCTGCCAAGAACCAAGTCTCGGAGACCGCGGGACAAAGTACGGAGATTTCGAAGGGGTTGAACAACATTCTGAAGGAGAATCTGCTGAACGAGAATCTGAAGAGAAATCATATGGGGGAGATGAGAGGGATAGCGCGACTGGAAAAGAATCCGTTTGCTACTATAAACACGAGAACACCACCACAAAATACCACACCCGCGGAAAAGCCTTCAGCATCGGCCGTGGAATCTGAGGATCCCACAAAGTCGCTTGACGCCAATGCGGTGTTCAAATTCAAGCAAGATATGACGCTCTCCAATATCCGAGAATCTCTTTCTATGAACGCGCAGGAATGGCTTTCGTTTGTGCGCTCAATCCGCTCTCTACGACGGAACAAAGATAATAGCCACTGGCCATCGAACGGTCTTCTTTGGATGATAGAGGCGACTCGTTTTTGTTTTCCCCAGGAAACACATGGGCTGTCGATAGAATGGAGGTGCGCCGCCTTTATGTATATTAGATCCCAGGAGAGGCTGTTGAAAGATCTAGACGGTACGGAGACACAAGGACCACAATCTATGCCCAGCACGCGAAGCAACTCGGGAATAAATATTACGGAAGCCGTTCCTGAAAGATCTGAAGGCATGGATGTTGGTGACAAGATTGTACTGGGCGACGCGAAAACGAAATACCCACGATCTGCAACTGCCATAAAAGCGAATGCAGGTTCAAATACCACCGAGGCTGTTCCTGCACATTCCGGAGATCGGGATGTTGTTGACTTGATTGTGTTGAACAACACCGAAGCACGAAAACCACAATCTACAACTGCCACAAAAGCCAATCTAGGATCAAATACCACAAAACATGTTTCTGCAAAACCCGGAGACATGGAAACCATTGACAAGATTATGAAGGATATGTCACTGTCCAAGATCCAACAATCTCTTGGTATCGAAGATTCGAACTGGTCGTTATTTGTTTCGGAAGTTCGTAAACGGTTGGCGGCCTTGAGTACCCTCAACTCGAGGTTAAAAGAGCTTCAGGCTCTTGTGAAAGAATTTCAGGTCCGTGGAATGTTCTTTCCAAAAGCCCTTTCGAATGATTGGTTGTGCGCTGCGTTTCGCTTTATCGCATCTCAGGGGACGGTTGAGATTTCGTCAGAAGAAAACAAGAAGAGAGAATACACCAAGACGGTGGCTAGTAAAGTCGCAGATGTTACACTCGCATCTGAATCCTCGACTATAACCTTGTCTGCGTCCAAGCAATTGCAGGTTCAGACTGAATCAACTCGTAAATCGGCTCGGCCCCTTCAACTGGACGAGGCAGATCTTGAATGGCTGCTTGAAATAAGATTGAAGGATTCACGCAGAATGAAAGATATTCTACAATATCCTCTTGCTCAGAATCCAAGAGCAAATGATCCTGAAGAGTATCATGCAAGACACGAAAAGTATTTAGCAATTGCACTCGAGCGAAACAGCAAGGCCAACCAAATACCGACACCCATAATTCCCGCAATAGATGCAGAGGCTTTGGACGTCAGTACAGATATATGGAACAACACAACCACTAGAGCAATCGATGATGAACCCGAAGATAACATCATGGTAGATGAACAAGTTGTGCGTCAACCTTTGAAATTCTCGGAACTCGAAGCGACGTATGTCCTTTCCAAAAACTCTCTACTGGTCTTAATCCCCTCAGAAGCGACGTCGACGCCAGAAGCTTCTGTCTCCCGTAGACCTTCTAGGAAAAGCAAATTGTTCGATAATGACCCTTTCATAGAGCAATTCTGGAAGAACTGGGATGGCTGGGACATTGACAAGCGACTAAGTTGTTGACAACGGATATCCTTGGGCGAGTAAAGGGAAAAGAACTATTTGCTAAGAAGTGCCAGACGCGTAGTGGCGAATCTGGATCAAGAGCTTCGATAGCCACTAATTCTCTGAGCGCTGGTAGCGTTGAGAAAGCTATCACCTCAGGAGATCCGAACTTGATTACCATTGATGATGATAGTCACAAAAATCGGACAGAACAACAACCCCAAATCCAGGTGCTACCACAGAAAGGCTATTTCAGCAAAACAAACACAACATTTACTGGAAAGAAAGTGCCTGCTAGATTACCAAGCAGCTTAGTTCAAGATGCTAGCGACGACTCTGGCTTCTCTGACTCTGATTTTGACTCTGATGATGAAAGCATCACAGCAGAACCTATGATTGCTGAAATGACGCTACCTACACTCAGCACAGCTACACGCAATGGGACGAAGGTGAGACAACGTTATGAGCCATCAGCGGTGGGAGATCATAATTTTGCAGAGATTCCACAATCGAAAGCGAGAATACAGCGAAAAGCCACGGGTCAAGCGAAGATATCGGAAGAATTGAAAGCTACGTTGCTACCGAGGTCAATATCACAGTCAGGGGTTAGCTCGAAAGTATCGGCGCAAAAAGAACCAACACAATCAGATCGTCAGTCGCCCAAGACACTAAAGGAAATGATTGCTGCACGAACCAAAACTCGAAATCCCCTCTCAATCTCACCCAATCCCGATGAGACTTGGGAAGTCGAAGAGGTGATTGAGAAAGCATCGACTACTTTGACTGAGTATCTTGTGAAGTGGAAAGGTCGTGAAGGTCAGGAATGGGTCACAGCGAGACATTTCAGTAATCCCGAGTACGCGAGACAGGAATTGGAGAGGCTGGGGGCCGAAGCTTTTGATGAGGGTGAGGGAGTGGGGATAGAGGAGAGTAGGATGACAGGGAAATCGAGGAAGCATGACGAAGCAATGCGGAGGGCTAGAGAGCAAATGGTAAGGGATATGGTGGATCTGACAAAGGATAGCGAGGAGTTAGTCAGGAATAGGGAGGAGCTGGCAAAGGATCGGAAGAAATTGATCAAGGATAAGGAGGCATTCGTGGAGAGGGTTGAGAGGTTTGAGGAGAGGTTGGAGGATGAGATGGATGGCGTGCGTTATGGTAGGGTTTCGGAGAGTGAGAGTCCGCCTGTGAAGAGGAGACGGGGGAGGCCGAGGAAGAAGGGGGATGGGGAGGTGAGTTATTTAGATAGATGAATTGGGAATTTGGGATGGTGGGATGGGTGATGGGGGGTTAAAGGTGTTTAAAAGAATTATGTAAGATTAGGCGGTGTTTAAATGAAGTTGTATACTTGCTATAACATTAGTAGCTAGGAGTTTGCTTTGAATACCTGTGAAATTGTTTATAAGATGATGAATTAGATCAGAGACTTAACGTCTTTAGGTATTCATTCATGAGTAAAATATGAGAAGGGGGTGATGAGATGAGATTATCATCTCTAGGAAAGAAAGATAAGAGGGTAAGTCAGAAATCCTAAATCAGCGAGGATGATGGAGAGATGGTGTAGAGTAAGTCTACGGCTTTCTTACAGTAACCCCCTGTGGTTTAAGTCCAATTTCGGCAAACTGCCACCAAAAAACGACCGTCTTCTATGGTTGATAAACACCCATGTCTTTTCTAGCGATTATTCGATTCCAGAGATAGGGAAATTTCTACATCTATTTGAAACCCTTGTATATGTTAAAGGGGACTTGGTTTGAGGTGTATTGGGGGCGGTGATAATTATGTTGAGGTGGTTATGGTGAGTTTGGGTGCGGATACGCGGTTTGGATCTGATTCAACGGATGGTGCTGGAGGGGTGCTTTGCCCCGGAGCGGGCTTGTTGGAGGGCGATGGGTGGGATGGAGATGATGGTTAGCATGGCGTGCGGGCGGGAGTGTTAGGTGCCAAGCTGAGAGGGATGGTGGGTTGGGCAGAGGTTTCGGAGTGAGAAAGTGGAGGTGTGGATGGATAGTTATTTTTTGGGGGGGTTGGTGTTGTTGTGGATGGGGTAGGGATGAGGATGAGGTTGAGGTTGTGAGGGAGGGAATAAGAGGACTCTGGTGGGGGTTGGGCGTTTGGAGAGAGGGGAGATGAGATGGATGAATAGAGGTTGATGGACCCTCGGGGGGTAGGAAGGCAGGGTAATTAGAAGGATCGTGCGAGGAAAGATATTGTGATGATGGGTTTTAGTTTGCTTTCACTTGAAACGGCGGAGTTTGGAGTTGGGATCGGGATGTTATTGCGTGATGTTGACATGGGCTGAGGGGGTTTTGGGGCGTGTGAGAAAGGAAAGATGAGAATAATCGATTCGGGTGTGTATGTTTTTGGTTAAGTGTTTGTTATACTAGGGATTTTGTAGAGCTCTTATCTCGAGTAGGATATTAAATAAGTTAAGTTAAGTTAAGGTAGTAAGTACTACTTAAAATTAACCTAATATAATATATACTTACTTAAGTTTAACTTAACTTAACTTATAATATTTTATAAGTAGTTTAAGTAATTCTATAATATCCTAGTCTTGATTTCTAAAGAACTACTTATATAACCTAAACTAATTTTTAATTATAGATATATCTTATAAAAGGTAATAACTTAAAGTAGAATTCTTTTCGCTTTATAAATCGATTTAATCTAACCCCTTACTCTCCCTTTCCTTCCTCCCTCTACAATATACAAACTCCTTATATCTTCCTTTAGCGAACACCGAAATGAGATTGCAGAACATAATCGTGGGCAGAAAGTAGGGAGGGTGAAGAGTTAGAGTAGTTTATGTCCATCACACGTACCTGGCAATAAAATTTAGTTGAGTGGGGATAAGGAAAGAGCGATAGGGAGAGTAGTGTAGTCTAAAAACTTCATCCAGGATGGTGAGTAGAGGTAACGCTACAATGTTATTTCATATAGTTTAAATTTATTTTGCAGGTATCAATTTCTATCGCCAAAAAGAAAACAACTACCTCTCTCAAAAAAAATCCGTTTCCCTATGCCTAAAACTCATACCAACTCCCACGCCCCTCCCTCACCCTCCTTAATCCCCACCTCCCTCCCCTCATCAATCGCCCGTCTCCCCGCCTCCAAAATCGCCGTCGTCGCAATCGTATTCCGCAACGTCGGTAGACCCCTCCCATCTAATTTCTCCAGCGCCGAAACACCCTCGCGATTCACAAGTCGACATCCATCCACGAACTTCTCAAAACTAACATATCCGTATCCGCCTTGCCCAGCGAAGTTCCCCTCCTCGTCAGGTGCGTATTTCATGTAGAATGGGTTATACCACATCAACCCATTAGGCAGCGAGTCGTCTGCGACGTCGTACCCGCGTTTAGCTTGGTCGATGCGGATCTCGCCGCCAGAAGCCATGTAGTGGAAATACTGGTTCGAGTGGACGCCTGCCTTTTGGGGCGCCGTCCAGGACGCCGTGTACACGCCCGTCGCGCGTTTCGAGGCGTCGGATTTCTTGACCCAGTGCACGAGCAGGGAGATGGTGTCTTCGGTGATGGGATCGCAGCCGAGACCGACGGCGACGCCTTTGGAGGCCGACGCGGATACTTTGACGGGTGTGTAGCCGAGCGTTTGGACCATGGATTCGCAGATGTCGATGTGATGCGAGTTGAGGTAGTACGAGATATCCGAGTCGACACCCGCCCAGGCTTTGAAGGTTTCGAGCTGCGACTTTGGTTGCGACATGTAGGAGTAGAAGTAGTTGAAGTCGCCGAGTTTCTGCGCTTTGAAGCGGGCGTCTGCGTAGGCGGGGTCGAATCGTTTGTGGTGCTCGATGTAGACGAATACGCCGTGTTCTTTGGCTTTGGCGAGGAGCTCGAGGTGGTGCGCGAGGGTTTTGACGGCGGGTTTGGTGATGAGAACGTGGATCTTGCGCTCGATTGCGTAGAGCGCGATGCGGTAGTGGGTGGTGTCTGGGGTGAAGATTGTGATTGCGGAACCGGGGGCGAGGGCGTCGATGGCGGCTTTGTAGGCTTCCGGGTCGGTTTTGTCGTTTGCTGGGTAGGATTCGAAGGAGGTGTCGAGGTTGTTGTAGACGTTTGTGATGTTTTTGGAGAGATGTTCGCCTGGATTGTTAGCTGGGTAGGGGATTGAGTTGGGGGAGACTTACGGATTGCTGGGAATTTGCCGCCTGATGTTCCAACCATGGAAAGATTTCCTACTTTTCCTCGTCGTCGTAGATCAAAGAGTGTGAGTCCTACCACTCCGACTTTCTTGTCTGATCCGGAAGCTCCTCCGCCGACGAAGCCAGTTGTGTACTCTCCCGTACCAACCATCAACACATTGAGGGGGGTATCAGAAGCCATGTTGCGTCTCTTTTGATTCTCTCTTGATTTTTGATTCTTTTCAATTCGTCCTCAAAATATGATTGTGAGGAGATCAATCGTGTTGTAAATCCAACTGTATGATGGCGGGGTAAATTTTGGCGAAACAACGCGTTTGCTCTTCTCACCAGTCAATTGATCACAACTCAATCAGAAATATCAATCAAAGAAGGACAACTTAATGAATATGTCAGAACCACGCCCAGTCCTATCCTCAAGATGCAGGAGAAATTGTTGCCGTCGTTCCCATCTCTGCTTGGACGGCAAGAGACGGACAAATATGTTCATCACCCCCAGCCGTCTGCCCCTCATTATCCGAGCCTCCCACCCCTCATGATGTCGCGTTGCCAGGGTCGCCCAGGTTTTGCCCAGCGATTGCCCAGCGATTGCCCCTCGCTGGGAAATATTCCGACGGAGGTGGATCGAGGCCCAGGATTTACCGGATGGCGCGTTTTGACGGTATTGCAGGGATGTTTTGCAGTTGTATTTTTGTAATTTTGACACGTAATTTGATGTGTAACATACTCATACTTTGGTACCTGGGTATACTGTTTACCAATTTATACGTTATCTATACCTATTTTTATATATTCTTGTGCGACATGGGCACGTGAGAGGACCGTGGCTTTCTCCTTTCCCGAGTGAGAATTTCTTTCCTCACTCATGCCGCAATCATATTTTCAACACATATCCTCAAGTGCGGCTCACCTACCAGAACCAACTCTTGGTACATCAATTGCAATATCCAACTTATTCCTCTCTCTTATCCGGCAACTCGAATGCGGTATGTTTAATTAGCGGAGATGCAATGACCCAAAATACCGCATGAGCCTCTCTGATCTGTTGTGCACCCCACATTGTCCGCATTTTCGTCCTCTCCTTCTCCTTACCAACAATCCCCTGGGAGGATTGAATGTTTACTGCATACCTCTCAAGTCCTCTTCAGCCTATTCACATAGATCTGATACCACGATTTTACACCTTGGACCATCATATATTGACATCTTGTGCTCCCGCATTGCTGATCATGAGCACAACACATCTCTTTCACAGCCTCCCAAACTCAGACCAGGTAAACCCCTCCACCCCGCATCTCCAGCTTCCAGATTACAGGCTGAACCTGGACTTGGGTCGTCTGCCCCTCGCTGGATCCGTGGTGGTGGAGTTGACACCCCACGTTTGGGAGGCTGATCTTATGATCATTGTATGTGCGGTGGTTGGTGGAAGATATATTTCCGTCTACAAACAACGTTTTATTACACCCCCAACTTCTACCAACGACACCACAACTCCACCAAACGCGCCAAACGCAATAATTCGAAGCAGATATACAGAATTGGCAATCAAATGTTACCGTACCAATCTTCAACGATGCATCAATTCGAATACCACATCTCAATTATCGAGAAAAACATCTCCGCTGAGGGTGGAAGAGAGGTTGGCAGAACTCAATATTCTCACTTACTAAACGCCATCTGCAGGTACAACTCCATTAGACAAAGTGGTTCTGACTAACACTAGTACTCGGTCTACGCCATCCACTCATGCCGGACCTCACCCGATTTTCTGGTACGTAACAAGCAGGAAAAGCCGTGGCGTCGCGTGAAAGCAGCTACTCGGAGACAATTCCTACGGTCCAAGCCCCACCAAACAGAGACAACAGAAGTATAGTTGGAATACAATTCGCCTTTTCCTTTCTGCAGGGTTGACCATTTGTCCATTTATATTGATCATGACCCCCCATGGTCCCAGGTGATGTTTTTTCTGCATTTTCTCTAGATTGCTTGCACGTTCTTACCTTCCGTTCTCGGCTTGCTTTCTTGTTGATTACTATTTTCTTTTTACATATCTCGCTCTTCTTCGAAGAAGTGCTCTTTCAAAAGACTCCTTCAAAAGACTCCTCCAAAAGACTCCCTTTCCAGAGAAATCTTCCCCCTAAAATACACAAACACAATCGTTCTCAAAATGGGAGACGCAAACGGTTCCAATGGCAGCTCTAACGGCAATGGCACCAACGGCCATTCAACCCGTCGTCCTCTCCTCCCCGGTATCTACGCCCCAACCATGACCTTCTTCCAACCCGAAAATGAAGACCTCGACATCCCAATTATCAAAAAACATGCCATCCGTCTCGCTGAAGCCGGTCTCGTTGGTCTCGTCACCATGGGTTCAAATGGTGAAGCCGTCCACCTCTCCCCCTCCGAGAAAACCGCCGTCACACGAGCAACCCGCGAAGCACTCGACTCAGCTGGTTTCACCCAAGTTCCCATCATCGTAGGTGCAACTGAAGGTTCCGTCCGAGGTACCATCGCTTTGATCGCCGAATCCGCCAAAGCAGGTGGTGATTACGTCCTTCTCCTCCCCCCAAGTTACTTCCGCGGCCTCATGGACGAAGATTCCGTCTACAACTACTTCACCCAAGTCGCAGATGAAGCCGTCCTTCCTCTCATCCTCTACAACTACCCTGGTGCCGTCGCCGGTATCGACATGGACTCCGACCTCCTCATCCGTCTCGCCAAACACCCCAACATCATCGGCACCAAATTCACATGCGGCAACACCGGCAAACTCACCCGTGTCGCCCTCGCCACCGACGCCAAAACCCCATTCTCAGAAGGCTCCGGCTACATGGCATTCGGCGGGATGTGCGATTTCACCGCGCAGACCCTCATCTCTGGCGGCTCGGGGATCATCGCAGGCGGCGCAAACGTCATGCCCAAAACGTGTGTCAAGATCTGGAATCTGTATACCGAGGGCAAGAGGGACGAGGCGTTTGCCCTGCAGAAGGTGCTGAGCAAGGGGGATTGGGTGCTGACGAAAGCGGCGATTGCGGGGACCAAGAGCGCGATTCAGAGTTATTACGGCTATGGCGGGTTCCCGAGGCGCCCGTTGAAGAGGCTGGATGAGGTGAGGACGAAGGGGATTAAGGAGGGGATTGATGAGGTTATGAAGGTGGAGTTGGGGTTGTGAGGGTGGTCAGAGGGGAGGGTATGGTGGGGTGGGTTTGTTGGGTGGGATGGATGGTTGGATGATATGATGGAACCGACAGCATGAGATTTGGTACCTTTGTTTTTTGGTTCGCATGGAGTATATACCGTATATAAATTTCCTAGTTGGGTGTCAGTCTTGGTTTTAGTTAATGGAATATCGTAGCCTTACCCCTTTATCTCCCTCCTTTTCTTTTCCTCTTCTCTTTTCTTAGAAATTCAACCCTGTGAACGTAGCTAGCTGGCTGGCTAAGTGACGAAGACGATATTCGCACTTTTGGGAGGTATGTGGATAGTGGGGGGGTGGGGTGGGTTGGTGAAGGGGTGAAGGGGTGAAGGGGTGAAGGGTAATAAGTATAAATCAGGGAAGTTAGAAGTTTTCCATTCCCTACATTTTTCGTTCGGTGAGGCAGTTGGATACATAGGATTGGATTATTGGATTGGATTGTAGGTGATAGATGGTGAGATGGTGGGATTTTGTAGGAGGGTTTTGGGGTTGTGTGGTATATAAATCTCTCTAAACCTTTCTTCCTTTTCTTTCTTTTTCGCTGGTTACTTTTTCGCTGATCGCTATAATATATCACGTCGTGGTTTGAAAAGAGTATAGAGAGTGGTATTAGTCGTTTATTCAAGGTTTGAAAGTGCGAAATGTTGGGTGTGTGGGTGGGTGGGTAGGTAGGTAGGTAGGTGTGTAGGTAAGTTGAGAAGGGATCTTGTTGGTGATTGGTGATTGGTGTTTGGCGTATGTGTTTGGGGTATGTGTAGGTTTGTTTGGGTGGGGGTGTTTGGGGTATGTGTTTGGGGTATATGTAGGTTTGTTTGGGTGGGGGTGTTTAGGTATATGAGATAGAGGTGTTTCAGTGTTCCGCATCCGGTAACCATGGTATATACCTAGAGTATAAAAAGGTTAGTACCTTACCTTTTATAAGGTACTACGGTATAGTACCCGAAAAAAAGTCGGGTACTAGGGTACTATACCGGATACCTGGATTTATTTAGGCCGACTCCGCACCGGTCTTGACTTGACAGGCCCGTGGTAGGGTCCCGGTATAGAAAAACTATATCCGGTCGCTGGAATATAGATTCGCGTAGCGCGTCCATGTGTAGCACTGTAACAACTTATATATTACCATAGTATATTATATAATCAAGGCAACCCGAAACCCGGCCAGATATACTGGGGTATAGTACCTTACCAATTTCTTTAGGCCTAGGTAGGTACTAAAGACGATTGAAAAAGGTAGGTACCTTGGTATACCATTCCCGATGCGGAACACTGGGGTGTTTAGGTATATAGAATTCACTTCCATACTTTTAAGAAACAGGCGTAAAGGAAGAAGTAGCGTCTATCCAAGGGTTTGAGGGTGGAAAAGTGTGTATGTAATTATGAATCATTTGGGTAGATGTAGGTATTGTGGGTGAGGAATTCGCTGGCTGTTTATGCTGGGATGGGATGGGGTGTGTTTTATGGGATGGGAAGGGGGTTTTGGTTCTTACGTGCAGGAGTTTAGAAGAGGGGAGGGTTGGGATGAGAGAACACAACTTTTTGCGTGGAGATGGGATCATCGCGGGGCTGGGTTGAGACTCGAGAGTGCTAGGGATTGGGGTTGGGTTTGTGGGTTTGTTGACTTGGGAGGAGGGATGGGAGGGGTTAGGATGGGGGAGTGGTGGTTCCGAAATCTTTATATGATAGACATTATTTCTGCAATCCTTCTCTTATTAATCAACTGACACTTTACCTTACATACTTCATCACAACAACTCACCATTTATAAATCCTTGTCTCGGAGATCTATAGGAAGTCTCTCGCCTGGTTTGAGGAATTCTTGGGGCTTGGATTTTGGGGGAGGTGGGGAGGGATAGCTGGGGTTGTGTATGGAGAGTTTAGGGTAGCGGAAGGATGGGAGTAGTAGAAGGATTAGTTGGGAAGTATAAATTAGATTTTAGGTTTATTGTGTGTGGGGAGTTGATTAGAGTGGTTAATGTGACTAAGTACTCGTTAATTGTAGTGTTAGTGCTTCGGAGGGAGATATGGATTTTTTAGGTTAGGATGGGGTTAGTGATGATTTTAAAGAGGGCTGGGGACGAGAGTTGTAGGATGAGTTTGGTGGTAACAACAGAGAGATAATAAGATAGAGAAACGATCCTAGGCCTCAAGTAGCATAGAATCCCACGCCTGTTTCTTTAAGTAACAGTCGGTCTACCTAGAACCGACTATTATACCCCTACCCCCCCTCTAAACTTACAACCCACATCACCAACCCATCCTCCCATCTATCCACCAAAACACCAGCCACACCCATTTCCATCCCTCAAAAAAAAAAAAAATACTAGAAACCCCTCCCTAGAACAAATCTCTTCCAGAACAAACACTTATATAACCCCTTTAGAACCGAATTCTCTTTACCTTATAAAGAGCGCGTTATTTTTGTATCGGAGGAGGAAGGAAGATTTGCGTTTTCGCTGTCTGTTTGTTTGAAGATTAGTTGTAGAATAACTAGATCTTTAGGTGAGTTGAGGAATATTGTTTGATTGGGTGGATCCGTTTGTACTGAGGGTTTGGAAGTGTATTTGACGAAATGGGGAGGGGATAAGGGGGGTTATTATATCTCTCCTAAGGGGAGTAGGATGAGGGATTATGGTTTTAATGTAGCTTGGTTGTTGTAGAAGGGGATTTTTGGTTTAGTTAAGGAATATTGTTAAATGGGTGGGTCCGTTATATTTTACTGTGCGAAGGGTCTGGAAATGTGTTTAATGCGAAACGGGGAGGTGAAAGGGAGGTAGTTGCTTGAGAAGATGTAATGTTGGGAATTTGAGATACATGTGCTTATCCCTTGCGTAACTTTCCGCCAAGGCCTCTGGTTGTGGAGCAAATAATGTGGCAATCTCTATATCGATGCGAATAAGTGGATTTTCGGAGCTGCTCTATCATTCAGATATCTGAATGTGGCTAAAATTACCACTTTTCGTGATAGAATTCAACGCTAAAAAGCTTGAATAACTACTTCGAGGCCGGAGCGGAAAGGTGCATCTAGGAGGTGGAAAGGATATGGTTTTGAGATTGATAAGTATATTAAGGAATGCTAATGAGCGTGATATCTTGGTGCGTAATGAAATACAGAAAGTGCAAAAGTTCCGCAAGGTTCAAAAGAATGTGATCATCAACCCAACATCACTCCAAAGCCCTCACCTCCTTACTCCCCTCCCCAAAAACCCTCGGTCTCAAATCCAACGCCCCAAACTCTAACAACAAGTTCGCAACCATGTTATGTCGCCCAGCAAGCGCACGTAACAACGGCATATACGCCCTGGGCCACCTCCTCTTCGGAAGCGGGAACGGCGGATCGGGACTCACCCCCGCCTCAAGCAACGCCCTCACAATCTCCAGCTCCCCTTTATTACACACGTCGCTCAAAATCTGGTTTCCCCTTTTATGGGCATTAACGTCTGCCCCACGAGCGAGAAGGAGACGTGCGGTGGAGAGCTCGACTTTGAGACACGCGGCTTCGAGGGGCGTGTATTGGGTTACGGATAAAGAGGGGTGGCCGACGTAGTGCGTTTCGGTGTGGTAGTTTATATCAGCCCCAGCGTCGAGGAGAATGGGGATGATTTTGTCTTGACCGAATTCAGCGGCTACGCAGAGGGCGCGGGAGAGGAAGTCGCAGTCGTCACGGAAACCACGGCGAATGCCGGAGGTAAGGAGGAGGGAGAGGAAGTCGGTAGAGCCGTGGCGGGAGGCACAGCGGATGACATCTGGGTGGCGGGTGTAGCCGGAGCGGAAGTTGATGTTTATGTCGAATCCTGAGGCGAGGGAGAGGGGGATGAAGGGGTGGAAGTTGGAGCGGGCGGCGGCGTGGAAGAGGGATTTGGTGAAGGGCGTTGTGGTGTGAAAGATGGTGGTGAGAAGGTGGGTGAAGAGTTCTGGGCGACGACCGGTGATGCAGCCTTTGAAGGCTGCTGTGTGGAGAGCTGAGATGTATGTTGTTGATGAGTTGGTGAGGTTCAAGAGTAGTTCTGTGGTTGGTTGATCGCCGATGTGACAAGCGTGAAGGATCGCAGATTCGAAGTTGAAAACACAATGTAGATCGACCGAATCAACCAATAACTTTACCGAAGCAGTCTGGCTCTTTCTGATAGCAGTTGTCAAGGGACAACCGAAACATTGACTTGGGTTTGAAAAGGTGGTACTTTCAATCAGATATTTCATCATCTGTAGATCTCCAGTAGATGCAGCTGCGACTAAAGCAGCCAGGTTCTTTTGATCATCCGTCCATTCGCCCAGTATTTTGTCTTGAGCCCAATCTGCGAGGATAACAGAGTGAAGCCTTGGCTTTCGAGATGGTTTTATAAAATATAGTAAAACCTCCACTTGAAGCTGATCCACAAACCACTTGGACAAGGCTTCCAAGTAAATGTGTTGATCAAATTGGGCCTGTGTATCAGAAGAAACATGATTCTCTTGAATATCGACAATCAGATCAAGAGTGTCATGAATGAGTCTGGAAGGAACCGTTGTTCGATTCTCGCGATTCAATCTTGGCAACAGATATTCCGACTTCAGAGCACGAGGTGGCCTTACCCGTCTACGCCGTGTGAGTCGAACAAAGAATTTCTCTTTACACATAGCATTGTCAACGGCATCTCGGAAGAATTCTGAAGGATTTGTTAGCTCATTGTAAAGCTTGATTCTTGAATTGGACGTACTGTTGACATATCTCAATCTAACACCATGACGAATGTCAATTGCGGCCAGCGTTAAAGAGAATATCTCTTGACTGAGTTCTGTAGGAAGGTTGACTATATTTGCTTCGAGTTGCTTTGACATGTACGAGTTTGTAAAATGGCAATGAAGAAGAAGAAATGAAATTAAAGGAGATTTGGAAGTGACTGTTTAAAGGTCGGGCAAGGTCGAGTCATACTTGCTTAAGGGAGTGTCGGTAATAACTGATCTGCGTTTCCACAAAGATTGCGGGGTGTCAATTGATGTTCTCACCCCCAGCTATATTCACACCCCAGCTATATTCACACCCCAGCTATATTCACACCCCCAGCTATCTTACCATGAAGCTATCTCCACGGAAAGAAGTGCATTTCAAGCTACACGAATTTCGCGTTTGACTTATAAAGAGACGTATACATATATTATTGATTATCATAATTCTCAACTATAGAACTATTCTCACTCCATCTACCACAATGGCAGCAGAAAACTACGAAGCAGCAATCTCCTTAATCGATGAAGCCCACGCCCAAGACCCCACAATCAAAATCGTAAACGGCGAAGATATACCCTACGAACTCTTCTACGCGCAACAAATGACCAAATACCTCACTCTTCGCTGTCCCAACGCCTCCCCAATCCTCAAAGTCGCAATCCGCGCGCAGCATTTCCGTCGCTGGGAGATCCCTCGCGATAGCTATCCGCTGGGCAAAGTCGGCTACTTCAAATGGCGCACATTCCTGAAGAAACGACAAGCGGATCTCGCGGCGGCGATATGTATAGGCTGTAATTTCACGAGGGAGGAGGCGGAGGAGGTTGCGCGGTTGATACGGAAAGAGGATTTGAAGGAGAATGAAGAAACGCAGATACTTGAGGATGTGGCTTGTTTGGTGTTTTTGGACGACCAGTTTGAGGCGTTCAAGGGGGAACATGATGATGGGAAGGTGGTGGATATACTGGTCAAGTCTTTGAGGAAGATGAGTAAGGAGGGGATTGAGTTGGCGGCCAACATTGATATGAGTGAAAAGAGTCAGGCGTTGATTGGGAGAGCGGTGGAGGAATTGGGGAAGTCGAGTCAGGGGAAGAGTTCGTCTTCATAGCAATTTCACAGTCGACTGCACTTGTAGGTCCAATTTCGACTTGTTTATGAAACGCTGGTTGATTTTTCTGTCTGATGTGTCGTTGATCTTTGAGGTCTGGTCCGGTTGTGGGTGCTAAAAACTACACAAGTTCTGATACTTGGTGTCCACATCTAACAGACTGGCTGCCTCTTACTTGCTAAGGTTTATTTGACGTGCTAATATCGCTTATGTTGCACCATGCTTTAAGGAATATAACCAAAGAGAACTGCTATGTAAATCCCAACACACATTCCTACGAAAATAACATCCATCGAGAAATATACAAGATGTGCAAATCGAGCGCGAAGTTTATAACGGGAAGAGGACATATTCAAAACAAAACAGAAACTTGCTAGCAGCAAGATGACAAAATCAGCCGCGATCCACAAGAAATAGGACTGTAGAGTCGCGCGAAGGCCCTCGGGACGTGCGAGCCGTTCTATTGAGCTGACCAGTTGGGCAGGGTATGTCAGGAGCAAATCCACCCCTAAAGCACATGCAAGAGTATATATTAGGCCACGTATATACTTGTATGCTAGCTCAGCTTGAAAACTTTCTTTCCACGGCCTACATTGTTCCGCCATGGATGGAGGGTCGGGCATCTGGGATGACTCTGGGTCTATGTTTGTTAGGCGTCTTTGAACTTCCTCGATACCTACGACGTCTTCAAATCCCTGAGATATGCTAAACGGTTCCATTCGAGTTGCATCCTCCTCAATGGAATTTGTGGTGTCCTCCTCTTTCACAATACTTTTGATAAGCTTAGTGTTTGCGTAACCGCCTATTTCAGGATTAGGACATTGTGTGCTATTGCAAACGGTTTAGGTGCGAGTAGATAATTACCAAAAAAGCCAGCCACCGGCAAACCTAAAAGAACAATAGGTACAACTTGGCCAAAACCCCAGGTATATTCTTCCGCCGTTTCCGCGATTGCGTTATTATATGAAAGATACCAAACCCTGATACCGAAGGCATGGAAGCGAAATATTCGAATAAGGCCCCAAGTGACCGCGAAAGCAAGCCACGTAAACTGTCAAAGTTATTCTCTTATCATCCCGAGCGTACCATCCAGCAACACAGTTACATTGAACTTACTTCCCAAGTTATGGAATTGGTGATCTCGCAACAAGCAATAATTGAAGCATATAAGGACCGCAAAACCGACAGTTTGGTGTGAACAACGTAGCGCTTGATAGTACAGGAAACTCCAGGTAGTAACAATTGCGTCAGATTCTGCGCGATACTGTGCTCGAAGTAACTCCAGGGTTGATCGCGCGGTACTCTGAGCAATCCGTGAATGAGATTTGTTTCGCCACGTATCAACGCCCAAGACCGAGAGAGGTATCCGAATCCCAGAATGAGAGTGGATATCAAAATGTAAGGAGCGTTAAAATGGGGTTTGATTGCTCCGTTAGAGTACTTGTTCCCATTTCTCCAACCAGTAACTTTTTGGAAGAGACATCTCGCAGGGAGATTGTTGGGAACGAATGGACCGCCATACAGGTATCCGGTGGGAACAATCGACACAATTAGCAAAACGTTCAGGATACCCATCAAAAATATCCTTATCCATCTTGAAGCATGCTGAGACCTGATTTCTGACTTTAAGCATGTCAGAGTAATCAAGTGGGTCATTGAGGAAAACCAAGCCAGGTTGCACATCATTATCCAGTGGTATACTGATATGCCATTTCCTAACTGCGAATAACCAGCAATTATAACGGAGAAGCCAGTAGCCAATTGTTGGTCGCTGAAGCCGATAATTGCTCCACGAAGACCGGATACCCAACGCTCTTTTTTGAATGTAACGACGCCGCGCGAGAGGGTTGAATGTGCTATGCAGCACAAGAAAGTCAAACAAACCGACATAGAAAACGCTGCGATGACCTAGAAGTCAAAATTAAGATCTATCATATTATTGTAGAGTTAAAGGACTTACACCAATCCCAGATATGTCAGGATTTGCCTTTAAAGCTGGATAGACACTGCAGTTTCCAGGCATCATGTCCAGACACCATGAGAATTCTTGAAGCTCAAAACAATCAACAACTTAATTGGTAAGATAGCTTTTTGCTATTGTCGATGTTTTGGAAGTAGGTCAATGGCCACAAGCTGGACAATGTCGTTGGCTATGATAACTTTTAGTAAGCCTAGAACCAAGTGTTCTGAAGTCTAGTTTTTCTTGGGTTGATGTGGAACTAGAGACCGCATCTCCAAACACGAACCTGTGATATTAGGAGGATATCTACATATTGATCGCACTTGAAACTCTACCAAGCCATGCTTTTTCCAGCGCTGGGGAAAGTTACGATATTATTGGGTCTTGATCTTCGTAACTTAAATTAGGGGTTTCCAAAGGATTCTTGTGCAACTTCTTGTCGAGACCGACTTATCAATTGCTCTGATGCGTAGGCACATTCCTTGGAGCCAGTGAGTCCGGCCCCGAAGCCACTACCTTATGTTGTGTCTATTCTCAGGATCATTTTACCACGGGATATGCCTTTCGTACTCTGAACTCAATGAAGTTTTAACAGAACATCTCTTTCCAGATTTCAAAGCCATACGCTTTGCGTGCACTTACTTCAGTTTGGCTTGCCTCAGTTGTTCGGATGTGTAGATGGCCATGTTTTCTTGGTAACACGACCCCACAGCCACGATCCCACAGCCGCCCATTTCGTGTTTCAAGTTGATACTCCAGCTGCGCCAGTTTAAACTCTGGTATCGTACGCATAAGTTACTGTACTTAGCAGTGGGTTTGATCTGACTCGAAAAGTCGTTTGATCTGACTTGGGAAGTTGAGCTTGAAGTTTGCGAAACAACTACCGACACTGCCCCTTATTTGTCTCTCTTGAGTATTAATAAACTTTGAAAGTGCTTGAATAAATGATCTAGGACTTTAAGGAACTTGGCGTCTGGTTTCGTTCGGAAAGGCAATTCTTGTTTTCTGTTGAATATGCTCGATCGGAACTAAATGATCATTTTCTTAATCTATACGTTCACGGATTTTCTCTTTCTGTAGGACTCAGTCAAAGCTTATACTTGAAGAAGCAAGGCATTCTTAGGATACCAGCCGATTGTCGCAGTACAATATGCCAATGAAGCACGATTTACAATATCCTTGGTGAACTAGCAGCAGCGCAAATCGGGCCTTTTATTCGTCAGTGAAGAACATGGGCTAAGATCAACTTTTAGGACTGTTTCTCTGATGCTTCCACGATGCTAAAACATCCTTGCAATGACTATTCTCCTCTTTCTCGCTGTCGAGCTGGCGACTTACATTTTCCTTAGTTCGGCCGCCTTGAAGAACTCATTATGGTCTCATGCTAGATTTTTTCATGGTTGAGACCTTGGATGTGATGAGCATTATCGTTTCTTGTCCAACTCTGGTCGATTATTGTGTCAACTTGATACCTGGAGAGTTCGAGAAGTGTAAATGTGGAAGCCACACAAACAATTCTATCGTCTGTATATTTAGAGTTATAATCTTCACGCAAATCGTACTCCCTACGAGACTGGTAAGCGACGAAGCAGTGAACGCTTCGTAGCTGCAGATTTAAAAGCTTATCCATTAAAGAGATCAATAAATAATCAAAGTCAAGTAAAGTACGCCGCATCTCTTCAAGTACTTCCAAATGGCCTTTGAATGCCAGATTCGCGTACTCGGGGTGGCATCACGAGCCTACCTCTTTCCGGAGTCAGCGTATCACGACTACGCCGAGTACGCCCCCTGAAATCTCGCTTAAAAAATACTACCCGCAAACATCAGCACTTTACTCAGACCTCTGGGATTGGTGAGTCCCTAAACCTTTCCAACATTTTCCGAAGATCCTATATTTTTTGGATGTCGTCATCTAATTTACCTTTCATAATCAGTATTGAGGGCGTTCCCCGCTTAGGTGCATTTGCTTTTTGTTGGTCTCGCCAGTGCAAAATTGGCGACGCTGTAAGTGGTTCTGGACCACCCTACCGTCTTCCACATATCTAGTTTGTGCTCTCTCCTTATGTTTCTCGGGTTGTGTCTATTTTTAACCCTTCATTAGAAAAACAACTGCAGCATGTTGGTTCTTCAAGACGATGTCTTGGTGATTGTTGGTATCGGCACGTGCGGTAACACAACTATGTGCACCGCCCCCGACCTCCAACACCAACATCTATTTTTTGCTCGTGTTGTTTGATACGCTGTGAAAACAGTCCTATTTTGCCTTTCAGAGTTCCGTAAGCCTGTTCTGCAAGAAATGGAGGATCAAGGATTGACTTTTAGCGTTAAGACACTTTTTGCGACGAAGGAAAGTTGCACATGTTGAAAGGTGATACTTTATTTGGTAATGATTAAACCTAGCCAGTTTCTCCTTCTATGCTCCCACATCATACACTACATCGAGAATATTCATAAATGCGTGGCCAAATAATTTTTCTGAGCTCTCGCTTGTAAATGCCTATCCGCAGGTTTCCAAGATGAACGCTTTGGCAGCACCACAAATGCTGGGGATGGAGTTTATTCACACTCTGACTCTGTCGTGGTAGATCTTTCATTTGAAGCTAACATAATATTGGCCGTATAAAGGTAGACTTATCCCTTTGTTGCAAAGGATTTCAGATGAGCTCAGCATAGGTAGTCCGGCTTGGGTCTCTGACTTATTTGAGCAATTCAACTTCCCAAGAATAGATTACACGAAGTATAGTTTCTTTTGACTGTTTTATGCAATAGCTTACAACTGAAGTGTAGCTTTCAACTGAAGTGCGAACACCTTTGGAAGTTTTCGAGCATGAGTCCACAGATAATCTCCCTGCCCAGTCACTTGGTGTAGCGCATGAACATGCTTGGAACCGCGCGCATGAGGGACTTCTTTCAGGTTATTCGAAAAGTTATAGTTAGTCGTTTATAATTTTCCTACCGATCCTCATACGAGCCTGAATATATATCAACCAGAAGAACTCTTCGTGGTCTCGTGGATTACTTGCTCAGGGCATCTATTCATGTCACCGTCCTTATTCTTGAGCAAAACGCCCGATTTGTAGATAGAAGTGTCAAAATACGGATTCTGTATAATGAGAACAGCGTAACTGTTATTCTCAAAATCAACGAGGAATTTTGAACCAAGTACCTCCAAGTCGCGAATCATTATCTCACCCAGTAGAAATGTAAACATCCATTGTTTCAAGAACCCAATACCTAATGTCAGTTACGTAACACACCACTTCTTTCCAGAAATTTTCAAATAGCTTGTGAAATGCAGCGTCGCATACATACTCGGGGTGGCGCTAGGATCCTATCGGTCCAGTTTCAGCCCATAACAACTACGCCGAGTAGAACTCCTGAATTCTCGCTTAAATTTTGCTACGCGCTGTTCTCTAGACTTTCCCGACAGATTTTGTACCATGATTGTAGATCAACAGAAGGGAAGCCACACCCATCTGTTGGCATAAAGGGCAAAGGGTGTTGTGTTGTCGCCCATAGACTCGCACCTTCCTTGTCGGTCAAACTTCTTGGAACAACTAATACCCTTCCTTCAATTTTCGTCGACAGCTCTGTGCGATATTGAATCCGGCCGTTGAATCCTCTCCTTGATCAAAAATGTTGGCGACTCCTTCGATACATGCCAGCTCTCGGATGAATTTCTTTTTGTTGTTGTCCAGGGCTGGACATTGCAAAATTGCTAGAGCCCACAGTCTTCAGCAAAATTATTTTTTGATCTGCAACTCTACGTTTCTGACTGAGAGTCCTTACATAGTGTTTCCTGTCGCTAAAAAAACGTTGTTACTGTTGGTTTGCTCTTAAATACGATTGATGCATGGTCATTGAGATCCGCACAGTCGGTAACACCACAATGTGCTCCGCCTTCCACTTTCACAATGCACTTTAATCTCTTCTGGTATGTTTTAAAGAGATACCCCTTTAGTCTGGTTTGGTTTGCTAGGATTTAACCGGCCTGTTCCTTAATCAGTGAAGGATTGGGGTTGGTTTTCGGCACTACCAAGGCGACGGTTAACGCTTGCCAACGTATTTCGCCTTCGCGCCTCAGAACCAACATCTATTTTTGATCGGATGATACGATAATATGTTGGAAAAGTTTTATTTTGACCGTTCAAAATCCTGTGACCGCTTTTTTTGACAAGTGATATTGCACGGATTCATCTTTAATTATATTTGTGTCATTCAGTCAGCGCGAGCAAAGCGGCCAGCATCTCTTGAGTGATGTAATATTATTACTCATCATTCTTCTATCCAGTGCTGTCAGCCTGTTTCTCAACAGGGGGGAAAGTCAGGAATTGGTGATCAAGCATGTCTAAGCTATAGGCCAGTCATTTTCGTCACTACTGCGGCCTACTGACTAGTAGGCCAATGCAAATCCGGTGAGAACGTTGAGAATTTTGCAATCCCGCTCCTCGGTTTCTTTATTCGTCCTAGATGACAAGGGGCTTGCTCGAATGTGGTGGCCCATAACGTATGCAATTCCCTCTCCTTTCGTGCTTGATCAACTGGGAAGTTGCAAGATCCCATTGTTTGTCACGCAGTTGCAGTTGTTTGGTAGCTCTCAAACAACAGTTGAAGGGAAACGCTGAGCCCCGAGTATCTGACTTCGTAAACTGTAGCATGTGGCATAGTAAAGGAATGGCTCTCTTCCAATTGTCCTAGATTGAAGGCATCTGGAGTGGGATCGAAGACGCAGCACTGTGAAGGAATATAGAGATGGTTCTAAGACCATACTTTGGTGATATCTCTGCTCTACAGACATTATATAAGTACAGTCCCGTCTCAAACTAATTTATCATCATATCAGTTCTAACATCTACATCAGTACATTTCTCTACAGTACATCTCTCTACCTCACATCTTTAGCATAGCAGCTGCACAACTTCATTTCTTTCCTCTTCAGAGCCGTTATTGCCCTACTTTCTATTCATTTATATCAGCCAACATGTTTTATTCTTCTAAGTTTAGCCGCATGTTGGTTATTCTCGTTACATTTCTAGCCCTTTCTCCTTGTTGGGCGTCGCCTGCCCCTCTGCATCAAGAAAATTCACTCGTCGCCCGCGCCCGAAGTAGAAGCGGCAGCGGAGTTACCCCCCCTGTATCACCTCCCCAGGTCCCATCAACACCAGAGGATAAAAAAACAAAGCCTCCAGTTGACGCGCCCGGCCTCGAACCAAAAAAGAAAATCGTCAAAGACTTCGACCTCGGCCAAAGGCTCAAGGATTGGCTTATGTCAGAAAAGAAGAAACTGCCTTTCGTGGTCACGTCCACCGGAGGTACTGAAGGCTGGTTTCAAGTTGAATTTCAGACTTTTGTGCGGAGAAAGCTGAAAATTGATCCAACTAACAACAAGGCCATCCAGCGCGAGCAACGTGTCTTTACTGGCTCGGCCAAAAATCAGTTAATGTTCGCTGATTGGGTCTTCCACCCCCAAGTTGGAACCAATGGAATCGAAGGCTATGATCGAGGTCTCATTGTCGAACTCAAGGTCCAGGCATCAAAGACTCCAAGTGCTTTTGTGCAGGACTTTAAGGTAGACATTGAGAAACTGAAGAGTCCGTTGAAACCGGAGTTTCAAAAGTTTGACAGGGTAGCCGTTGCTTTCGCTTGGGATGCTCCCTATTTGAAACTGTTGGATAATGTACCAAATGCTTTGAAACTGTTTTCATTACCATTGGCTGGGGGCGACGAGGTCATCACTGCGTATGCCTGCGAAATAGATGCCAAAGGAAAGGCGTCCCCAAAGCTAGGCTTCCAAGCGTTGCCGGGCTCTAGTGGGGAAGAAGACACTACGAATCAACCTCTTCAAGAATCCATTCCAGATAGAACGAAAACCAGGGCACAGACCAAGGCCGAGAAGGCCGCTGAGAAGGCCGCTGAGGAATAGTCAGTCATTGAGGGCAAGAAGCAAGTTAAGAAGTGGGGTATTGCGGGAAATTGAAATGGTGCATTCATTAGATGAGATACCATCAAAGTGTAGGACGCGATATTGTCATGCTTGTTGAACAGTGTCTCGCTACTCTCTTTATATCTTTTTGGGATAATTTTCTTGACTGCCTTTTGTTTTTTTCTTTCTGTTTTTGGAGTTAGCTGAGTCAAATACAGCGTGTTATTTGATGGCGTTTGTTTCGGTTTAAATGCTGGGTAGCTAAGTTGTCCATTTTGAATTTCTTTTGCTTGCTCTACACAATTGTTGTATTTTATAATGTGACATAAAAAGGTTCCGAACATACAACATTATACTCTTCATTCATTCAATAATTAAGAATAAGGAAGAGTCAATGAACTTTGTAAAAAAATGAGAAAAGAAATTGAATTATCTGCCACGTCCTTAATCCCTATCACAATAATTTGAGGTCATTTGATATTTTATTAAACAAAAAAAACACATTCAGAAAACATTAAATAATTTTAGCTTTGGGGGAGTTCTAGTAGCTGCTCATATGGTCGTGGCGTTGACGCCTATTATACCTGAATCGGCCCGTCCTGCTCTGCACACTTTATGTTGCTTTTTTACGTGTTGTTAATATCTATCCTAGGGTTTCCGATAAAATCCATGGGTGTTTGCACAGCCTTGTATTAATTCTGCTATGCCCGAAACAAAGCAGCCCATTGGCTGATGTAAGCGAGCTTGCACTGCCTCCCACGATGTGTTTTATTACTTGACACCAAAACATCGGCTACGCCCACTATCAGTGTTTCATATTCATCAATCCCCAAGAGTCTTTCACCATCACCTTTATAGCAATTCAGAATTTCCTTACCACAAACAACCATATTGACATCCCACGCCAAAAAGCACTCGTGTCTACTTGTTTAATCTTATTTTGTCTGATTATTACTGAGTTATGGCAATTTTCGACGAGCTTGCTACAGAACTTCAAGAATCAATATGGGAATTAGTTCTCCCACCCTATGGCGGCATCCACTGGGTCGATATCGAAGGGTTTCCCCGTTCCACGGAAGCCATTCGGGAAACCCTGGATAGAGTTTCATTCCATTTCAATGACGTGGAACGTTCTTGCTTAAGCTACTGTATATGTGACAATAGTCCCAAAGAGCATAAGATTTATTCGAATTATGTCTATGGAAAAAAGGGCAGAGGTGATTTCTCGACGCCTTATTTCGAAGATCTATATCCAATCGTCCCTTCGGTCTTGGGCCGAGCTGAATCGGCAGACTTGCTCTTTGACCATGAAAATGCAAAGGAAATAATTGATGTACGCCGTTGCCGGCAACTTTCAACCTACACTCAGATCACTAGTCTTCTTTCGACATGCACATCTTCAAGGCGATCGACTCTTCGTTGGCTAAATAGGACAGTTCCAGGAGGACAATGGAGGCTTTTCCGGGGCGAAGGAGCCATGTGTAGGCCGCGTCCATTGAGCATCTGGAAGTCACAGTATCAGGCCTCTGGAGTTACGCCGCCGGAAAGACAGATAAGGGCCGAAGAGCTCGGTCTTGGTATATTCGCTGCTTCGGATCTCATTATCTTCAGGCTACATACAGCCTCGGGGCATCCTACGACAACGTTAAAACACAGCTTCTTCCAGCTCCACGTAGAGTGGCCAAAGGTACCAACAATGCTCCCGAATTTCAAACGAGTTGGTATCGAATGGAACCCAGTATGGGCAACTGAAAGTGGTTGGGATGCTTTCTACCTAGATGCTGTCCATAGCATTAATATGTTGACGAGTACGATAGGTGCCAAGCAGTTTTACTGGCTTGTTGATGGTATTCCCCGCCCCAAATGGGAGCAGTATCCTCCATGTATCCCGGCGGCCTACAATTATCTAATTGACAAATCGGAACTGGGATTGATGGAGCAGGACCAATTGAACGAGCTAAGGGCGGGTGAATCACTCAGAGATAAATTTCCTGAGCAGCACGACCTGTATCATGACCTTGAGGCCAATGGTCGTCGATATTATGTTGTTTTCTTATTTACCAATGTTAGCCGTTTCGACACTGTAGAGGGATACGACGAAACGAAAGATAGTGTATTTCTGGAAACCAACTTCCCTAGCCGAGATGTTTGCTGGAAGGACTTATTTCCTGGGGGAAAAGATTTGTGGCCCGAGGCTCTTTACGAACCCGTCGAATTTGCAAACAAGGCGGGCTTTCGTCTAGGAGCGGGTTCTCACTGTACATACGTTTTGTCCTGGGAGCCTATTTAAATGTGTAGGCATGAAACACACTTTGATACAGGGGAAGAAGGGTTCATTGATTAGTAATTCTCATTTGTAAATCAAATATGAGACTGAGAGTTAGAACCCAATGTGCCAAGATAGTTGGCTTATTGGCCAAATTTGACATGTATCAACCATACCCAGGCTGTACGCAAACATAAACGTGACAAGGTAGTCAGAAAATGGCGTTAGTGTCTGAGAATGCATACTTGAGTAGATACTTGGTGGTTGGCGGGATTTGAATATGCATTTTTGAAGCGATTTGAGTATGTCTACGTTTTGGCCGCAGATCATTCACGAAGTCAGATACCCTAGACTTACTTTCAATATGCGAGACTTATGCAGAGAGGTTTTGGAGTGTGGTAGACACATCTAAGTACAAAATGTCATCCATAAAAGGAAGTTACCCGGCTTGACTAGAGCAGAATAGTGAGCTTACTGCAAGTCATTCTGAGAACTCGGCGAACCCAACCTCACTCGCGATTGCCTACCACCAATCCGTGAAGGTCGTAAATCCTCGAATCAACCTTTTGCAGTCACCAACATTTCTGTCTCAACAGATCCTCACTCACTCGTTACATCTGTTCATTCCGCTTCACACCAAACTTGCGGTGTACTGTACGTCAGTCACGCGAGTCGAAACGACTACCATCGCAGCAAGCCACCAACACGCCTCAAAAGGCCCAATCGACTAAGACGAATCGCATGTTGTCAAGTACAACACTGTCTTGAAACCAGAATTACGGCGTTCCATATGGTAGTTGAGAACTTTCGAGTGTTGTTAATCATCTAAGTTTTGTCAGTTAAATACTGAAGTGCAAGCAATTTACCGCACTTCTCTGAATTTCCTTAAATGATGCTACGTGTGATAGAAAACTCAAATCAAAATATTATTCTCGAACTCCATCAGACTACTAGTTCACACATGTGCAAATCGCCGTCCACCCAAAGCCAACCCAATGCCAAGGGCGTCTACCAAGATCTCATAACGCCAAAGAACCACACTGTTGGAAAGCTCTGAGACATATCGGCCGATACAATGTACAGAAGTTGGTTCCATGTTACACAATATCTTGAGTCTGGGGATGAATGGATGCAACGACGACCCGTAACTGATGATGAACATTTCAGCCCTTACTTGAGATGAAGCTTCAGGAAGGTAGAGCCGGAAAGTTGAGGTGAATCCTACTTTACCCCTCTATTCATGTGCTAAGGGACTTATTGAGCTGATCTTAGCGATCAAGTAGCATTGCACCGATAACATAAATGATTCACTTCGGGTTAACAGCAGATAAGGGAAGTTCTAGTGTTTCTTGTGATTGGGGCATACTACTCCTCAAATTATAGGATTTGCGTCATGCGGTTGAATCATGAACGAGATCCCAATGCATTCAGATTCATGAGAAGGGTGTTGTACTTGAATGGATGTGTTTTATTATGAGTGGGTATAAATTGCTTGCTTCCCGCCACGTTCGAAAGTCAAATTACAAGGCAAGGATTAAGTCAATTCATTCTATTTTTCAACACCTGGGTATCACGCTCGATAAACCCACACTTATCTACGGGGAATTCCTGTAGTGGAGTTATCATAAAAAAAGCCAAGCGAGCCGCGAAGACGAGCAAGTTTTCAGGGATTTAAAGGAAATATGTCCCTCCAGACCTCGACTTTCTTCTGATTCCAATCCCTCAAGAACAACTTCGAGCCAGCTAAAATGGCAACTCAACAACCAAAGATGGCTGGTCCCATTCTTGTTGATCGCCAAGAGGCAATGAACAGAGTCAAGAGACAGGCCAAGTTCGCTGTTATCGAAATTCCTGAAAAGGAGAAAACTAACTTGAAGTTGGACGAACTCCACATCGAAATTGACGTTGAAGGCGAGGAGAATGACTTCAAAGTCGATGGTGTTCCTGCGGACAGCTCACAGGTCTCTAGCATGACCAAGTTTGCTAAACCGGCACCTCTACATTGTCCTGTAAGTAATACTATTGCTCTACACGCCTTCGGTCACTACCGGCTTTCGTCAATTCATCTCTTCTTCAGCACATCTCCTGTGTGATTCATCAAGCTAAAAGCTTTCTTTAGGGTTCGGTTCCGCTTCCAACCACATCATCCGTCTTCACCACCCTCTCCAAGTCCTTCCCATCCATGACCCGTCTCCCAGACGGCGAGACCGGTATCAGAAAGAACTACATCTTCTTCCAACTCGCTGTTTTCTCTCAATGTCCCTGGGTTGTTACTCCCTTCGAGTTGTATGAGGAACAAGGGGTACATGAGAGAGAGGAGAAGACGAATGATGAGGAAGCAAAGGTGGATTGGAGTAGCCAAGGAGCCAAGAAAGCAATCATCTTGAACGAGACCGGCTATGCCATTGCTGCTTTGGCTTCTTACGAGGAGTTCAAGAAAGCCAGAGACGAGGGTATCATTGGTGAGAGAGTGAAATTTCAGGTCTCACTGCCTATGCCATTTGAGATCCCTTCATTTTGCATCCTCCCTGAATTTCAAGCGGAAGTTGAGAAGCTTTATGCCGAGAAAATCGCTCAGGATCTGAGGGCTATTCAGAGTGCTCTTCCGGCTGAAAATTTGGCTATTCAGTTCGACGTACCATTTGCGATTGCCATGCTAGAAGGTCTAGTCACCCCATGGTTCGCTAAGAATCGTGATGACTTGAAAGAACAACTTGGAGAGCGATTCAAGAAAATGGCTGGTCTCGTCAAGGAAGGTGTCGAAATGGGCTTTCATCTCTGTTATGGTGATTACAAACACCAACATTTCATGGAGCCAAAGGACACTGCAATTTTGGTTGAGTTGAACAATCTCATTCAGAAATTTGTGGAGAGGAAGATTAATTGGGTTCACCTTCCGGTTCCGAAGAGCAGAGTTGATGTCAAATATTTTGAACCGCTTAAGGGGATGGAAGTCAAAGGTCATGGGGAGACGGAGTTTTACTTGGGATTGGTTCATGCTAACGATTGTGAGGGAACCAAGAAGAGAATTGAGACTGCCGCGAAAGTTCTTGGTGGCAGATGTTTTGGTGTTGGGACAGAGTGCGGTTGGGGTAGACATGGCGATGCGGAGTTTGAGAGTATGTTGGAGGTCTCGAAGAGTGCTGTTAGTGATGTTGAAGGACAGAAACTTTGAGTTGACGGGGAATTGTTGCGAAAAACGGGGATTATAGTCGATGAAGTTACGCGTTGTAGTCGTTGGCGAACGGGGGATTTTGACTGGAGGGATGTCTTATTACCGGATTTCTTGATCGGGAGTTGCTTTGTGCTAGTCTTTGAAGCTGGTCTCTTGGATTAGATTGAGTAGCTGTGCAAGCTATGCAAAGTTCTTCAGGTCAAAGAACCTACAAAGTGGAAAAACGATAAGAGAGAAAAATATTACATTTTTATCCCCAGCTCTCTATGTACCCAGTGAAAGCCTGGAACTTAAACTCCTGTTCATTTTTAAGTCAGCCGTATGAGCTGTTCCACTGTGCACCTCACCACCCCCGGAAGCTCATAAATTGAATCTAATACTTCTCAGCAGCTGGTCTCATATCCAACTCACTAGTCCACAAATCTTGCTCCTGTTCACTCAGCCACAGATAAGTTTTTCCCACTGAATCAGCACTCATCTTTGTTCCTGTAGCCTGTGCATCTCCATCTGCGTCCTCAATTCCACCATTTGCGATGGTATGCACGACATGAATTCCCTTCGGACTCATCTCCTTCCCTAAACTCTGCGCCAATTGTCTCACACCCGCTCTGCCAGCACCATAAGCAGCATACTCTGCATTAGATCTCATAGCTCCCAACGTTCCAGTGAAAATAATAGTGCCTTTCTTTTCACGAGTCTCGGATAGAGGCGCCGTACCGTGGTGCTCGAACATTAATTTCGCCGATTCTTGAGCGAAAGCGAAGGCACCGCCCACATACTCGGTTAGGGAAGTTGTGAACTCCTTGTAAGTTTCCTCCATGAAAGGCTTTTTCGATGAGTGTTTGATGCTGTAGACAGCTAGTTTCAACTTGAGGTCTTTGAATGACTGGTGCGTGCGGATATCTTGAAATGCGGACTTGAGTGAGTCTGGGTCTGTGGATGTTGGGAAGATTTCCATCACACTCTCTGGTGAAGATTCTTTGAGCGTGCTCTGAATTTTTGAAAGAGACTCTTTGTTTCGAGCGCACATGGCTACCGCATACTTCTTGGAGAGAATACGTATAATCCCCGTGCCCTAATATTATGTCAATCACCTGAACGTGTAAGAGAAGAAGACGGGAGGTTGATGGAACCAAACATACAGTATTAGGACCTGCCCCGATGATAATCGCTAGACCTTTAGGAGCCATCTTGCTTTTTATATTTTATTCTTGTATTTTTTAGGAGATAAAACTTGATAATTGGTTGTAGGGTCAACACTTCAACAACAGAACAGGTTTGTATTCTCGAAATCAGATGTTTAATGGTTCGTCTTGGTTTTGAAATTGTTAATAACATTGAACAAATTCTCTCACAAGCCCCTCCATATATACGGTTCATATCCGCAAATAGTGTGGAAGACGTCAGGAACCGCATCGGGATGACGTACGCGGGGTCCTGAACTCCATCCAACCCCGCAATTCTTAAATCCGATGATATTCGGCCGAAGGAAGTAACTTACGCGCAATTGCGTTTTCGGACGAATGCTTTGAAATATAAGAGGAAAGACAGAAACCTCGTCAAGTTTTGTTTGATGCTTCTTCGATGATATGATAAATGGGACCCAAATAAGTTGTCATTTGAGGAGAAATCAAACTTAGATTATTGAAAGGGGGAAATATTTAAGCGAGGATTGACTGGCCCGGTTAATCCAAGTGCTTCGTAATTTCTGCGAGAAATCATTCTGAATACTGTTTTAGTGAGCTCCTATCACATGAAGCACATGTTTCGAAGCTTTGGATGTCTTATGATGTTACCCACGAGCCATGCTTGGTATTGCACTGGATTCTCGTTTTTGTATTGGAAACAGCAATAGAAATATGATATTGTTGGTGGTAAGATCCAAGTCTTGAAATTTATCCTTGAGTTAGAAATACACATGAACAAAATAGCGAAAGCTACCTCAACTACCCAAAACATTTCAAACACTAAGTATTCGTCCTCCCAGATGCATCAATTCCACTGACTACCGCCAACAACGCTAAAATCACTAAACTCGTTAGCACAATCATCCTACTATTAAAGCGAAACCAAGGCGACTCACAAGTTCCCCCAGTCAACACAAAGCCTGCAACGGTAAAAGCCGTTTGGACATCCTTCGTCGCCATACTCCATATAATTCCGAGTAAAGTACTGATTGCTAGTGGTAGGATACCGGCTACACATATCCTGAAAGCATTCCAGCCTTCAATAAATTCTAGAGCATGTCGGCGATCCTTTTGACGCAGTTGGAATACCCATTCTATCCAAAGATCTCCGGAGCCAATTGCGGAAGGGTTGAGATACGCATAGAGAATTTCTTGGAGAGTGATGGCTGGGAGTGGAAGAGGCCTGGCGTGAGTTGTTGGCGTATACTATTAAGTCAGCAAAGCAGTGAATAGTTCATAGGATGCTCAGCCTACCACCAATAGTCCTATACCAGTCAAGGTTTTAAGAGCAAAAGTACGTCTCCAAAACCCGCACATGTCCTTGAGATAAACGCGACGAAGCTGCGAAAAGAACTCTTGGTCGCTTTGTATAAGTTTGGCATTATCTCTGATTGATTGCTCAAATGATTCTTCATCCTCGAAGCGATCTCGCTTGACAACCTGAACTTGGCGTATTTCGCAGCCACCGGAACGAGCACGATAGCATATCAAGTTGAGAGCGCAAGTAGGCTTGGAGGTATCATACACTCCAGCTTCCAAGTCTGCTGCGAAAAACACCGGGTTGAGGATTGGCGCATCGACCGGGTATGCTTGCAGTGGTGTTGGCGTAACTTGTAATAATGGCGTCGCGTCGAGTCTTCGCAATTCTGTGTCATAAGCATCAAGAATATTAATTGCGCCCTCTACTTCAACCTCTCTAAATTCGATATGATTCTTGGAATTAAGTACAGCCCCTAAGGGTGCTGCAGACCCGGGCAAGTGGAACTTGGGGATTAATGGCGGTTCAGGAAGGTCGGCCATTTACGAAAACTTCTGTGACTTGATCATAGCACCATGCTCAGTGCCTTATGGAAAATATATGGGGAAACTCATATGGGGATCAAACAGTTCAGGTTCCACGATATGCCTGTGAGCTGAAACTGGTGCGGCTGAATGAGTCCAATCTAAGTGTGACTTGATTGGAGGATAGTTGCTTTTTACTTTAGCGCCACATGAGGAGTATCGAAAATTACTCTTGGCAAATGAGGAACGCAATGTGGCTTGCCAACGGGTCAAGTAAAATCTCAGTATTTGTGCCGAGAAAACATGTTACTAATTCCATAAATCGTTTTTTTGTAAGAGCTAAACTTACACGCAGAATAACGAGTGTGTCGCAAGAATCATCAAAACACTATTAAAATGTTAAGTACAATAGAACTAAATTCCAAAACAGTTTACGAATTGCAAAGTACGGAAAGTACTTTTATTACAAGGCTTGCTCCTAAATTTCGAGAAAATCAAACCACTTTTCGATGCCACTCTGCTATCTACAACCTTGCCGAGGAAACTTTAGATTAACGCACCTGGCTCTTGCAAGCCGGTTTGGGAGGGTAAAACACAAACATGATTTATTTTCAAAACTCTGACGATGCAAAGACTTAAATCTTCCAAGTAGTAGCCCGAAAGCCCTGAAACGCATCCTGGAAAAAGCTATTCTACACATCCAGCCTCATCTCTACAGTATATCACCACGGCTTAGCATGAGTATGTTCTTTTGGTATGGATGAGTTGTACTAGTCCGCCATGATAGCCCATTAAACCTCAAGGATTCGGCACTAAAGCTGTTGACTCGTGGCTACTTTAGCTGAAAGACAATCGAAGAGTTAGGCTGTTATAATCTTACAATATGTATTTCTCTCTCGATTGGCAACAACAAATGGCCACAATGGCTTACGTATTCCCGTCGTTTCTCTCAAACCTAATCTCCCCACTCTATCTCGGGCACTCTTACTGGACAGTGTTTGGAGGTAGACATAGTGAGTTACAGCAATGTCTGTCACATACGACTTTAGACCCTGGGTAGAATATAGCCAGGTTGTTATGAATCTCAGATCCAAAAAAACTTAAAAGGATACGGAGCATCGTAGTGCTGAGGATATATGTCGAACCTGTGGCGCAGCACGACCTCCCTCACAGCTGCTGCTGTTGTAAATGGTTCGATCTTGCCTTGTGCCTGTGCACGCGCCAATCGTTCTTCTCCATACTCCTGCGCTTCTCTCTCCCACTTCATGAACGGATGGTCTGCTTCCCTCGATATAGGAAGTGCTGACATGACCGATTCTGGAAGTGCGGCTTCTTCACACAATAGAAGGTGAGCCACAAAATGGACGCCAACTTGCAAAGGGACTCGAATAACATCAATGGTTCCCATGTCTTCACTTCTCGCGAGAGGTAATGCTTTATCCTTCAAAGACTCGAAGCTAATCGGTGCGCTAAGCCGATTTTCGTGACCTGTTCGGACCAATAAAATGCTCTGGTTCTGGGCAAAGTCGTCGAAGTGACGAAGGCCGTCTGCGTGCTTCTCAACGGCCACGAACTTGAACTCGTCGAATACTACTACAAGTGCTTCACAAATCGAATGTAGTTTGAAGTGTCTTGGGTCCGGCCAAGGCTTGCACATTCTGATAAAAGCATCAGCTCTGTTGTTTTCTTCTATCGTCTTTCGAACCTGAGAGCAAATGGACTCATGCGCTCGCAGTATTCCGCGGACTGTCTTTGCATATTCTTCCTTAACGCTTACGGGAACAGCAAAGAATTCATCAAGTTGCATTTGTGGTTCCCTGCCCAGAGCATTGGACCAAGCATTCCAGATACCACCTAGGATCACCGGCCCATGACGGCCGACCTCGTTGAATGCTGACTGCGTCCAGTAAAATACTGTGGCTTTGTTGTAGAACAGGTACTCCATTCATGTATTGATGTATGGTATGCTATGGCCTCGTTTCTGGGGATTCTTGATGCTGTAGAGTTGAAGCATTTTATGATCGGGGTAAAGTGGATTGGGAGGTGACCAGATTTGCTCGAGCTCAAGTCGATATTCGTCACTTTCTTGTATAAACCAGTCTCGTTTGAGGTCCTCCCTCAACTCTGCGACGACTTCTGGTGAAAGAAGTAGTGGTACGTCTATGGTAGACTCGTAAATCGTCTGTCCAATCTTAATGTTCCTCTGGTCTTGGTGTTGTGGAATGTTCCTATAGAGTTTTGTTTCGGCAATTGAATCGTAAAGTTCTATTTCTAAACTGAGCACCGAGGCTATAACAGCTAGAGGGTCTGCTGGCCAACTCAAAAATTATGCACGTTCTTGAATGTAATTTGTCGCAAGTACACACAAAGTTTGACCCGCTTTGGGTCAGATATTGTGATGGATGTAAACTGTTCTTTGCCAAAGTCGGCCGAGATAGTCACTGCTTGCGTGTAGTCCGTAGTACAAGAAACAGATGATATGATGTATTGTATTTGCTTTATCTGTGGTATTGCGGGCAGACAATGCGATTCAAAGGTAGGGACGATGATTCGATTTTGGAGCTGGACTAGCCGGAAAAGCTGTTTTCCCGCAACACCACATAACCACGCCTCGAAATGGACGGCTCGATTTATCTCACTACTTAGACCCTTTTCCCGATAGACTCGATTGTTAGAAGATATCGAGATTATTATAACTAGAGAACGGTCTGCAGGTTATCACTAGGTGAAAGAAAATCTTACTATTTGCGCCGAGGCAACTCGCTACAGATTCTGTGAATCAACTTTTTTGGGGGGCTAAACTAAATAGAAAATGACTAGTATGTCGTAAGAATCTTCAAAACAGTAGTGAAGTGTTAAGGATAATTTAAATTAGGTCGAAAGTAAGTACAGAATATTCAGACCATAGTACTATACCCAATATTGCCCAAAACGTTTCGTCGAAGTCGTGAATATAAAATAAATTAAGCTATACTTTACCTCTAGCTGTTGCCCAATGGCTCGGTGCGCTAATAATACCAGTGATCTTTATACGAAAGTTCCTCTCAGGAACTCGATAATAGTCACAACCTACGAAAAGACTCGTAACGAACTTTTGAAATGAAAGTACGGACTTAAGTCCCTAATTTGTCATTTCATCTTAGAGTCAAGACGCTTACGGACTGTCTCGGTAGTGTCCCGTCCATGTAAGTTGCTGTTGCGATATATGGTCCTGATAGAGTAGATCTCCTAGTGTGGTAATGGCGAATATGGAGACCCAAGTCTTGATGGATAAAGCGCAAAGTAAATAACGCGGACGAAGAGACTAATTGTAATAAGAAGTGGAATCATCTGACCCGGCGAAGAGATTTCGTTAACATCTCTGATAACGTTCCATTTAATAGTGAGCTCGGTAGCTATAACGATTGTCGTTGCAACAGTAAGACAAATAAGAGTATATATAACCTGTAAGACAACTATTCTCTTATTGCTATCAATTATTGTTAGGAATATCTTTTCTATTATTGATTTACTTGACTTACCTTAAGTTTGGTTTTCTTGCCTGTCTCGGGTCGGGTCTTCTTACATGTCTGCCCTTCGCGAACAGGAAACATATAAGCCCGAGAGAGCCTATGTAGTATAGTAGCAGCGAGAGGTATAGTAATGTGTTTACGAGAACGAACTTCTTCTAGTTGAAATCTACCTTTTTAAAAAGAAAACCGAACTCTTCGCAAGACTTGGTCGCTATATTCTACACCTTAGTAGTCTAGAACTATAGTTAAAATGTTGCGATAGCGGTTAACAAGATCTAGTTTAAGACACTAAACGTCTTTTGAGCTGGCACTCTTGGGTATCTGGAAGGGTCCCATTTAGGAGACCAACACGTCAAACACCTCCAGAGGTATAATGGTACGATGTACAAATAAACGCCGAATGTTAATAGGAGAATGATGTATATCTCGACGGGCTTAGGGTTGTCTTTGTAAATTTGAATCAACAACGTAACAAACGTGGCTACGACGAAAAGTGAATTCGATAGTGCGATTCCGTCGACTTGGTCCGGGGCGATCCAGGATGCCAGAATTCCGCCGTACTAAGTTAAATACATTGCGATTCGAATTCCTAAACCGTACATATCGGAATTACTAGAGATCTCGCATAATGCCGTATTATTGAAGCGTGGTTGTATGAGAGATTGTTCCAGCTGCTTAGTCGTCAGACTTTTAATATTATAGCCTCAGGGGCACAGATGTGACCTCCCGAACGGTGTTGGAAAGACAATAAATGAAAGTGACGTACCTCTATCAGGTTTCTAGTTGGAGTGACCTTTTATAACGTTTAATGCTGATTTAGTCGAAAAGGAACAAAAGAGAGAAATAGAGAAAGAAAGTCTACTTGACTTCTGACGATCGACAAATGACAGATGTATAGTGAGACTCACACTTATCTCCCTAATAGTACCACCGAACAATATAAAATACCCGAGACGTGTAACATTAGGAATCCTATACGGTAGGCATCCAACGTTTCGCCGACTGTTAAATGCGTAATAAGGCTTCGCACCTGTGAGTATCCGTCGGCAGTGCTAAACAGTATAGAATCCCCGAGGCTTGTGACATCAGAATGTCGACCTACAGACTTGTCGGCATTTCCTTTTTAAAAAGGAAACTTATTAAGCGATTAAATTAGTACAGTTTTACACGCATAATACCTAACCGATAAAACCCCAGCTGCCAGCACAATAAACGTAAATTTGTGTAGACATCGTAGAAAGATGATAGCTTAGGAATCCTGATCGATCTGTTACTATACTAGTAAGGCACCTCGTGGTGTACAAAATAAATATTAGTTACTTGCCAATTAAACTTAAATGGAATGAAACGACCATGAACGTCGAATACATCTTAAGAGGTGTTATATATTGAAATCAAATTACGAAATATGTAATGTTTTACTAACTGGATCTACTAAATATATGATATTTCGTCAAGTTAATCGAAGAACTATCGTGTTTCGACTCTCTCTTACTTCGCCCACCACGAGTAGGGTACTTCGTTTCAACCCCCGGATCTATCCCGCCCAATACGTCATATTTGCTCGTTCTGTGTAAGTAAATACATATTTCAGTTTGTTCATTCATATGAAACGTACCTTTCATAAAAGAGTAGAAGATTCCATTTTTTAAAACTGTCGTATTTAGAGGAAATCCTGTCAATTCAACAAAACACTGATGTGGCAAATATTACTACTCTTGACTTATATCGTTAGCAAAATCATAAATAAGGCGGCGGCGGAGGCTTTCAAAAACTATAGAGCTGACCTGAAATTTTCACAAAATTCGAAAGACATGAAGCTCAGACGGTAACCACAGAGCAGTTAATAGCCTCTTAAAGCGCGCTAGTATAGCTAAGGAAGGACTAAAGCAAGAACTGTGACTACCTGTGGCCCAATGAAGGAGGAAAATTTCAAGTATAAAGTTACTTTCCAAGAAAGCACTTTTATGATGAACTGCTATAGGATTGAAATTTTTGATGTCAGAGTAGTGGATTATTTTCTGAGGGCATAGGAGGAATGTTACTGTATCCTTTCAAGAATAATCCTTTTCAAGGTTTTCATAGACACATCTAAAATAAAATGGTTTACCATTTCCACAACGTTACTTTGTAAGATTAGAAACACAAGTGGAATAATTATCAAAACCAAGACTTTCGCCTTTCTCCATCTATCCGTCACGGTCTATCCATCGACCACCAAATCATTGCGCAGCTTTAATCAAATCCGCAGCCTACAAACATTAGCCCTCTCCCTCCTCACACAAGAAATCAAACTCACCTTCTCAGCAATAGCATAAGTAGTCTGCTGCGTATACGCCCCGGGCAACAATGGAATAACACTAGCATCCACAACCCTCAACCCCCTCGTCCCATAAACCCTCAACTCAGTGTCCACCACGCCCCCCAAAGATTTCGGCGCCATCGCATTCGTGCCAATAGGATGGAACACCGTCGGCCACATGACCCCACGAATAAACTCACCTAGATCCGCATCACTGGTGACATTTGCGCCAGGCGCGAGTTCGCGGGGTGCGGAGGAGGCGAGAGTGGGCGTGGCCATGTAGCGACGGGTGAAGCGCATGAATTCGATGAGGATGGCGAGGTCGGTGGGGTTGGAGAGGGCGCGGTAGTCGACGATGGGGTCGAGGAAGAGGGGGTCGCGAGGGTCGACGTTGACGGTTCCGCGGCTTGTGGGGCGGAGATTCACGCTGAAGCCTTCGACGGCGCCGCCGCCGAATTGGATGTTGTAGGTTGCGGAGCCCTTGGAGCGGAAGGCGTCGGCGAGGATGGCTTGTTGGGCTTTGTAGCCTGCGATGACTGTTGGGTGAGTGTTTGGTGGGAGGTAAGCTGCTGGGTCTGCTGATTGGAAGGTTGAGACGAGTCTGGCAAATGTGGTAGGTGCTACCACAGAGAGTGGTAGGAATGCCGCAGAGTTTCCAGAGGCGACGACAAGGGGACCAGTCTTGTTTTGATCGAATTGCTGCTGAGCTGCCGCGGCAAAAGCTGGATCGTTCAAATCTTCAGGACTGGGGTCGGCAGTGAAGTTCTCAACTATCTTGAATTAGATACAAATTTCTGAAAGATAGAAGATATGGGGCGGATCAGAGAAACCGAACTCACAGAGAAAAGCATGACCAGGATTGAACAGATGATCTTGGAAGTTCTGACCGACCCCAGGAAGCTCAACTTTCAAAGGAATATTTGCAGCCTTGAGAATCGACTTTGGACCGATTCCGCTGCTTTGCAAAATCTGTGGCGAATGGATACTTCCTGCACTTAGAATGACTTCCTTCTTCGCTTTCACAGTCTTGACGTTGCTCGCAGTCACTGTAGTCGCCGAGCTGGGCACATATTGCACACCAGAAGCTTGATCGCCATTGAAAGTGATCTTGATAACTCTGGAGCCAGTTATCGTTTGGTAGTTCCGGCGGTTGAGTCCATCCCAATGACCAGTGCGTGAAAACGATCTGGTGATCGTCACGGGATCATATGATGAAGGAAACCAAAAGACTCCTGGAAGACCGGAACCAGAGTCTGGTGGGTAGGTTGCACCTGGAATATCTCTGAATGCTCTGAAATTTGTTTCTGGGAGATGGTAAGCAATTAGAAACCAAAGCTTAGACTCATGAACTTACTGAGTTGTGGCCATTGGAATGATGGGAGTGTGGCATAGATCTTAGTCCCAACATTTCCCCAAAATCTTCTATCAGTCTTGATATCAAACTCATTGGCAAGTGCTTGTGGCGGGGGTGTGAATGTAGTTGCCTAATTATATGTAATTAGTCGACCAGAATTAAAAACCAGTGTATAATCAATCTTGCCTTCTTGAAATAAGGAAGCAGTCCTTTCCAGTCCCAATCAGATCGTCTACCAAACAAGCTTGCCCAAGAGTCATAATCTTCGATTTGACCTCTTAAATAGCCCATTCCATTAGCAGCTGAAGACCCGCCAAGCATTTTGCCAAGCACAACAAGTTGTGTTCTGTTGTTCATTCCAGGTTGAGGAGTAGAAGGGATTTGCCATAAGTGAGTAGTATTGAAGAAACTTTGAGCACCTCCTGCTACCGTCTGAACAGAAGTTGAATTGTCTTGAATCTAAGTTATTGAGGGTTCTCATAGGCGGGAGGGCAGCGCTACCAAAATCCCCATATTCAATCACAAGCACAGTGTCTACAGGTATCGATTAGTATTTAGCTAGATCACGAGGAAAAAATGCAGCTGTTACTTACATCTTCCACTTTCAGTGAGTCTATCAGCGACGGTGAGACCTGCCGTCCCTCCACCAACCACTATATAGTCATACTCGGATTTAACTTGCTCACGAGCATCATCTCTTGGAGAATTTGTCGGCGAGCCATTAACAAAGAGACATTGAGAAGCGGAAAGAAAGCACAAAACCACGGTTGTAAAGAGAGAAATCATCGTTCATCTGAAACAAAAGCTACGCTTTGCATTGTGAAAACTGTTGACTTGCGGAGAAGGCGGGGTAATAAGTACACACTTGACGCCTCGACGGCAGAGACTATAGATCGGACAATATTTGCAAGCACCTACCGGTGAAGATTGCGACATGGCGAATACCTTGTTGGAGGCGTTGAGATGAGCTGAGAATCTTACTGAGACTTTCAAGTTTTAACTGGTAACTGGTGTTACTTGAACATGCCACCAGTCCAAATCAAGCATAAAACATTGAGTTTCTGGTATCAAGTGAGCACAGGCGGGAAATATTTGGCTTGGGTGCAGAAAATTGGTTGTAAATGCAACGCTGACCGTGGAAGCGACTGTAGCACGACATAATTATAAAGTAATGTTACCGAATATCTGCCACTCACGCAGTCAGCACAAGTCTTCTCCCCACCGAATCAGAAGCAGGGCTCGGAGAAAAAGCACTTTTTTGCACGAAACTCCGAATAAGAAAATAATTAGTGAGAAAGTGTAGGGGTAGCTCCACATGTCTTTGTATCCAAGCCGTGTAGTAATCGTTTGTCCTTTCTCTTTTCTCATCTATCTCTATAACTTCCAAGATCTAGACTCAATGAAATCTTATTTCTTTGCAGGCTTGGTGTTTTGAGCTCCAGCCTCAACTTCGGCCAGACATTTCTCAAACTCAGACCAGTGCTTCATCATGACAGCAACACCAGCATCTAAGAGAATTTTTGTCTTCTCCTCAACTTCTTCCTCGGGGTAGCTACCGGTGTAGCCGATCGTTGGGATACCGGCAGCAACGGCAGCTGTTGCACCTGACTTGCTGTCTTCAACAGCAACGCACTCCTTAGGATCCAATGAGTATTTGGCCCACTCTTGGTCATATTGCTCCTCGGATCCAGGCTCCACCAACCCGATATCTGACTTCTTGGCGGTGATGAATCCAAGTCTTTGCATGGCATGGATGTAAACAGCAGGATCGGGTTTTGACAATGGCTTTCTCATAGAGGTCGCGGCGGAGAATACACGCACTCTTGATTCCTCCTTTGGTAAAGAATTTGGGTCTGCTTTTGGAGCATCCTTTGGCTTTGGGTCTTCGAAGTATTGCAGTTGATTGGTCAAGTCAACAGACACGTAGACCCGGGGGTAAGCACTCGAGCTAACGACACTCATCAAGTATTTGCTCGACCCATCGGGCTTCTTGGCGTCCGCGAGTTTCTTCAACTCGGCGTCAACACCTTCACAAGGTTGCACAATCTCCTTAGTTGGCTTGCCGCTCTCATCTGGGTTCCCCTTCAACGATCTGATGACAGCAGTCAATTCGCGTTGCACATAAGAATCCAATGTCGCATCATCCATTTCATATTTGTATATATTCTTCAAGTTTGTGATCATGCCGCGGAAGTTTTGGCCGACGAAATCTGCCATCAATTGAGCTCCTGTGTATCGCTCGGGTTTCCCCTTGCTTTCCAGAATTTCATTGGCCAATTCAGCACATGCTTCGAAGGCTTTCTCTTCGGAGAGAACGAGGGTATTGTCACAATCGAATAGGAGGGTAGTGATCTACAATTGAGTTAGCTGATGAACGGAAACATAGACAGAGACGTAGAATAACATGAATGACGAACTCTTTGCTTTTGATCTGCCATTTTGCTTGATTGTTGTAGATGACTGTTGGTATCTAATGAGGGCAATTCTTACTAAACAGTCAATGAACGATGTTTGAAAAGGCGGCTTCGCGACGCAGGTGGCTTTCTTAGAAGTATCGGTCAAATTGGTAGCGCGTTCACAAGGCTGATACGACTTCAATACGTTCTGCTACAATTGGCAAGCGACACAAGATATTGAAAACAAGTCTTGGTATAGGATTTGAGACGAAGACCCCTGGATTTGCCGAGTGCTATAGTGAGGAAATATTGTGTGAGAAAAGAAAAGGTTGTCGCCGAGAGAGGACTCTTCACGTATGATTTCGTGTAACCCGACTGACTGACCCCGCCTTTGGCCAACATGGTGGGGTCGAGACCATTGGTTTCGCTTAATGGTACGTGAGCATCTCGAATCAAAACAAAACATATCGAGTCGAACACAGCATGCTGTTCATCGGCCGGAACCACTATGAAAACAAACCGGAAGTATTCCAATATGAGCCACAAGTTTTGAGGATCAAAATATGGCCATCACAAGCTTCAAGAGCCTCGTAGTGGCATGTGCGCAAAGCAGGCATCCTGATTAGTCTGAACGGGAGAATGGAGCACACAGTTTCGTACCTGTATTGGCCCATTCATTGGGCAGCATTTGGGGAGATCCATTTCATGTGAATATCAGGGTATTTCGGTCCGAGGACGAGAGGCTGTGAAGATAAACGCTGCGATCCGGCAAAATTTGGAGGTTAAGCGATAACTGATATCAGGCTTGAGGTATTATTGTCGAATTTTGAGCAAAACTGTAGTAGGCAGTCGACAGAAATGCACGGAAGATATCGGGGGTAGTAACTCCTGCCGTGGTTCCTGTAGGCGTAAAACTCTGAATGTTCCTGTCCTCCGTCAGACCAATACAAGAAGCACCTGGTCGTATTTCCTTCGGCATAGTCCTCCTGGCTGGGAAGAGCCGCCCGCATTATCATTCCTTCGACACATAGGTTTTTTCCAGTACCTCCGGTGACGGCATAAGCGCGCTTTAGGAATATTTGCATTTTGTGAAATTCGTATCTATGGTATCGATAAGTAGAAAACTCCGTGACAATGAACTCCTAGATAATTTCTTTTCCCATGCTTTCCCTTCAACCATATCAAAACATTCCCCATATCTCCAGTCGTTATTTTACATCAATTGTAGCTTGCATGTGGAAATTGAGCTCTACCAGCCGCACTGCCTACCGAACCTGACTGACCAGAGTATCCTACCACACTTGGCGGCTGACTTGAATATGCTGGTGCTGTTGATTCGCCGGAGTAGCCCAAATAGCTCGTATTATCATCGTGGACCGTAGGAGGCACGTATCCTACACCACCACCGTAGGGGCTGCTCGAGTTGTCGCCGAAATGTGGGTTTGACAGAGGTCCGCCGTAACTTGGAATCGAGGTATCATGCGCTTCATGAACGGCATCGTGATCATCAACATTATGGACCGGTGCGTACTCGTCGTGGGGTGCCGTTGAAAATGCATCTTTGTCAGGGTCGATTTGGTTCGCGTTATTTGGTGCCCTGGAAGCTCCTGGCAGATATCCTTCCCGTTTGTAGTAGACAACCCCGTAGAGGGACATGAAAGTAGTTAAAGCCCAAAGTAACCTATTCACGGAATATTAGCTCCCTGCACTGATTCATTACACAAAGTGATAGGAAAACACGAACCAGATGAAAACACCAAAGCCTACGACTGCCTTACTCCTCCCGCAGCCGTCATTGCATTTGCCGCTGGAGTTAAAGCTAGCCTGGGCAGCAAAAGCCGTCAACCACAGCAAACAGAAGAGGCCATCCACCGATGCGAGTGCGTAAGGATTTGCGAATTTACGGGTCCTTGGAAACCTGGGTGTCATGGTAAGGTATATGAGGGCAGGTATCGTGAGAAAGCACTACACAAAAAGCTACGGTTAGCATACTTGCAAATCTACTTCTCCCAGAAGATGGTGCTGCGTACCAAGCCAAAAAACCATCCAGGTCTCCCATCAATTTTCGCCGACGACCTAAACACCAGAATCTCTAGAATCCATGCTACCACTATCAACGCCGATTGCCCAATATGCACCCCCAATTTAATCTTCTGCAACTGATGTGCCGCGAATTCCATCATCTCTGCACCTCTCGAAGTGTTCAAAATGAAGCTGAAACAGAAAAGAAAACCAGATCGAATACGAGGCTGAGATAATTTGTTTGTTTACTTCGCAGCAGCTTGCCGTGGAAGAGGGAGGCTGCAGATGCAGGTGAGATTCGTTACGGAGGGGTGTGTTGGTTTGTGAATAATTGTTGGAATCTGGGAGATCGTTCGCGGTTATCGTTGGTTTTTGTGAGTTGCTGTCCTGCGGTTCTTGAAGGAGGCTCAGTTGTATTGACGCGTGGGTCAGCCCGATAGAAGGGAGGCATTGACCGGGTGATCGGCCTCAGCTGAGGCGAACTGGGTGCTATTTTTAGATAAACTTCTTCTATCAGAACAGAATATTCTTTTTTCGAAAAATCCCTATCATTTATGCATAAGTCTTGACCCATTCCAATATGCAAATTCAACTGTTCTTTCCAAACAACTTATATTACTAGGAACATATGTATCTCGGAGGCTTTCGGTACATCATCGAAATGTATTCCCAAACGGTCACAGTCTCGAAACTAGTTAAGTTAATCGCCGAAATCGGCTATGCTTCGGAACGTCATTCATTGGCAGGGGATGCTATTTACCTCTTCTGGACATTTTCTCCATAATAAGGTCGAGCTCGAAGCCATTTTACAATGCAAATTTAAACCATCCCACTCTTCGATAGGGAAACAATATAAGGTGGTATCATAGGAAGTATGAAAGCTTTTCTTTCTTTTCCTTTTAATAATTGCATATACAACAATGGCTACAAATAAAAACCCTCCCGCCAACGGCGCAGTCTCCGACGAAGAGACCCCTCTCCTCCGCGACGAGACCCTCCCAGCGACGATTACGGCCCCTTCGGAAGAGACAACAGAGGAAACTGTACTCGCACAAGAGGTATCGAACAAACGCTTGGTCTTGGTTCTTGGAAGCATCTACGTTGGTGTCTTTCTGGGTGCGCTTGACGGTACTATAATTGCCACTCTTTCGGCACCAATCTCGACGTCTTTCAACAGCCTTTCCCTTCTATCATGGCTTGCTTCTGCATATTTGATCGCAAATGCAGCTTGCCAGCCACTGTCTGGGCGCCTGACGGATATTTTCAGTAGGAGAACGGGACTGGTGGTTAGCAATATTCTGTTTGCAATTGGTAACTTGATATGTGGATTGGCGTCGAACGAGTGGATGATGATCGGTGGTAGAGTGGTTGCCGGAATGGGAGGTGGGGGTCTGATGGCTATTTCTACGTTTGTGGGCAGTGATCTGGTTCCGCTGAGAAAGAGAGGCATCGTACAGGGAATTGGAAACATCTGCTTCGGCACTGGAGCTGGGCTGGGAGGTATCTTTGGAGGATGGATCAACGATGTCTGGGGCTGGAGGAATGCCTTTTTGATCCAGGTTCCTTTCGTTGTGGTTTCTGGAATTTTGGTATTCTTCACGGTCAATATCCCGCCAAAGAAGTCGGACAAGTCAACGCTTTCACGAATTGATTTCCTCGGCGCAGGGACCTTGGTCATTACGCTTGTCTTGCTCCTGCTCGGTTTGAACTCTGGGGGAAATATAGTACCGTGGACACATCCATTGGTCTATGTCTCGCTAATTCTATCTTTGCTGTCCTTAGCCGCCTTCATCTACATCGAAGCTCGTGTGGCAACTGAACCAGTAATTCCAGTCAAGCTTCTCCTCAACCGTACAGTAGCGGCTGCATGTCTCACCAATTGGTTTGCGACAATGGTGTTGTACATAGGGCTGTTCTATGTCCCTATTTTTTTCCAAGCCAAGGGTCTCAGCACCACCGCAGCCGGTGCACGACTCATTCCACAATCGGTTGGAGCTTCCTTCGGATCGCTGTCTTCTGGTTTGATTATGAATCGGACTGGAAAGTACAAGATCTTGTCTCTTGCCATCATGAGCACCTTCGTCCTGGGCATCGGGCTGCTCAGTACTTTGAACTTCAGTACTTCAAACTGGCCGCCAGTCATCTACCTCTTCCTTGCTGGCGCTGGATACGGAGGCATGCTTACAGTCACTCTTCTCGCCGTTATAGCGGCAGTCTCACACGATCACCAAGCCGTTATCACCTCTGCAACGTACGCCTTCCGCAGCACCGGCTCCACCATCGGCGTCACCATCGGAAGCGCGGTGTACCAGAATCTTCTGCTTAAAGGTCTTCACGACCGTTTTGACGGCCAGAAAGGTGCTGAAGGAGAGATCAGGAGGATCAGGGATAGCTTTGATGAGTTGAAGCATTTGCCTGCTGGCTGGAAAGAAGGTGTTATGGCGAGTTATGAGAACAGTTTGAGGGGTGTGTTTCTTACTGGTCTTGGGATTGCGGTGCTGAGTTTGGTGTGCTGCGCATTTATGAGGGAGCACATACTTCATAAGAGCTTAGCTAGAAGGGATTCTAGTTGATAAACAATTATTGGTAATGTGTTCAAATTGTAATATAGTTGGCATAGAGTGTATATATCTGCAATATATTATGTTTGAAGCAGGCACCGGCCAAGGGACGAATATGAGATCTAGTTCATCAATGAACTGAGGATAAACCCCTTCTTTAAAACTTCACTATCATACTCATTGAAATTTTTTATTCACGCGTGAGACGGTTCAGACTCCTCGGCAGATTAAGAATTGTCTTGTACCCAGTAGGCACCAGACATGATGACCGCTTTGGGCTAGGCCGAATCGACCGGATCCACTTTGTTTTTCGACGACATGATTGTAGTTGCTTCCATCAACAATTTCCACGTTCTCATTTTCGTTTCTCAAAAAAAGTATCATTTCACATCAACAACCATCGATGAGGCTGTCAGCGAACAATGACTTTTCGAAAGCGGATCAAGGTCTGGCTGAGCCCTCCCTTTGTGCATAGAGGCTGTCACAATGCCGTGTTACAATCTGCCATGAACAGTTGTTGATTGACGCACAGCTGATTTAGTGACATTTCAACGAGTTCGAGACATCCTCTAGGGCACTAACACTTGATCTTCCGACCTAAAAATTTGGGATGCCAAGCGAATGGCAAAGTCCTCTCTCTGATCTTCTTTAAGCACCCATCCTGAGGAAGGAAATTATCGAATGAGGCAAAGCAATGCACCTCAAAACTTACTTGTAGCATTCGCGTGCTATGTGGAATGCCGCGAGAGTAGCAATGGTGTCCCAATCAGATTGCATCGATGTTTCGATAATGGTGTACAAGATATGCAGTGCCATGCAGAACTGGTGTAGCCACACGGCGGTTACAACTTTACGACTTTACCGCCTGGATCAAATCCGACTTATCGACCCCGCTCTTGGAGTCTTTCTCCAGAACTGAGCAACTATCAAACCTATTGTCCTTTGGACGAGGTAACGCTATCTAAGATATTTCTTGGGTTTATCGAGAATGAGTTCAGTGAAAGATACGCCGAAACGTCCCTTAAGGCTGCTTGCTTTAGGTAAGTGATCATTCCCTTTCAAGTAGACATAAACTCGATAGTGATGAAATTCGACTAAAGTGGTTAATCTTTTTCCCAGATGGAGGGGGCTTCCGAGGCCTGTCGAGTCTTTACATTCTGAAGGGATTGATGATGCGCTTAGAAAAACATGTTGATCCTAGTGCAACTCGACCCCTGCTTCCCTGCGATTACTTCGATTTGATCGCGGGTACCTCGACAGGAGGTCTCATCGCCATTATGTTGGGCGTGCTTCATATGGACCTCGACACATGTATCGCATAATACATTAAGCTCGGACGTCAAATTTTCCCACAAGAATCATTCATCGAAAGCAATAAGATAACAAAACTCGTCAAGGTTCTAATCAAACAGCCTCGGTTCAGATCAGATTCTCTAGAAGCAGCCATTCAAGAAATGGTAGAAAGAAGGCTCACACAGAGAAGTAAGGATGGGAAAAATACTATGCTGAGATTTGAGTAGCAGAAGACGGAGGACCTCGTTGTAAAGTGTGAGTCTATTCATATCGACAGATTGAGCGTTTATGGAAATCTCATATTAGCTAGGGTACTATGTGCAGTTTCTGTACGACCCAGAGGACCTGTTCGACTCAGAAATTACAGTGTGTCGGGCAATGAAATGCCTGATTGCTGTATCTGGCAAGCTTGCCGTGCAACATCAGCAGCTCCAACTTTTTCGACCCTATCGTAATTAACAATCAGCTGTATGTTAATGGAGCGCTCGGTTATAATAATCCTATTAGGCCCTTGTTGGATGAAGCATCACGCATTTGGGGTGATAAGCGTCCTATTGGGGTCATATTGAGCATTGGAACCGGCGTACCGCGGTTGGGGAGCGTCGGAGAAGGTGCTACACTTGCTAAGACACTGAAAGAAATGGCAACTGACACGCAGACTGTGGCAAATGAATTCAGGAACGAGATAATAAGCAAGTATGGGCCCGATCAGCAAATCTATTTTCGTTTTAATGTAGAACGGGGGCTTGAGGAATTAGGTTTAGAGCACTGTCAACCTCGACATCAAGCCCAGATTCGAACTGCAACGAACTTATACTTGGAGGAAATCGCAGATCAGATAGAGATCTGCGCGCGCCGTATCTGCTGTCCAACAGGTGAGCAAGATTACGGTGAGTTGGAAGGTATGCTAAGAGACGCAGACCCCACAAAGCCAATTGAATACGTATCTACACTACCGACATACCTTGGACATGACCCAGACTTCCAAGGGCGAGACGAGATTCTAGACCAAATGCGGCAGACCTTGGAAACTCAGCCTAGAGTCGCTCTTCAAGGACTTGGCGGTGTTGGGTAATGCCTCGAACTCTCCTGTTGACATTTGCTAATTTGCAACGGGAATAGCAAAACGAAGATTGCGGTTGAATATGCCCTTAAGTATCACGCGCTAAGTGACCTTCTGTGGGTCTATGCAGGAAGCGTTGCCAACTTTGAGGAATCGTACGTTGCAATCGCGAAAGGGCTCGAATTTGAAGGTTGGGACGATTCAACAACAAATGTTCGCGAGATTGTACAGAAGCATTTGGCCAAGAAATCCGCCCGCCAACGGTTGATGATTGTGGACAATGCCGACGATTTCTCTATGTTTTTCCCTTCCTCCATCGATGGCTCGTTAGCGCCGAATGACCAGAGCAACCTCGCAAACTCTTTGCCTCCGCCAGACGTTATGGGTGGAAGAATAATAATCACTACTAGGGACAAGAGACTTGGGCTTCAATTGACTAGCTCTCTACCAATCCCAGTACAATCTCTTCCTCCGACAGAAGCTAAAGTCTTGCTCTCGGCCAAAATCTTGGACCAAAATAAATGGGATGACAAGGAGGCTGAAAGGTTGATCACGAAACTTGATTGCCACCCGCTTGCAATCACTCAAGCTGCAGCATTCATCAACCAATTCGATGATATTACTCTCATCGATTATCTCAAAACCCTCGAGCAAGACATCCACACTATGACGGAAACTTTGAGTGAAGACCTTTACGATGCCAGAAGAGCGCCAGGCACACCAAACGCAATTTTCAAGACTTGGCAGGTCTCTTATTCGCTTCTGAGACGCGGCCATCCCGAAGCGGCGGATTTGTTGTGTCTGATGGCTACTCTAGACTGCTCATCCATTCTAGCAAGAATATTAAGAATGCAAGACGACATCACTCTAAGAGATAGGAGGAAAGTCCAGACTCTGCTTGATTTTTCCTTGATTCGAGGTTCCCTTGCTGACGGTGTTTTCTCAATGCATCGGCTTGTACAGTTATCGACCCGAACTTGGATGGCTTCTATTGCGACTATCGCACACTGGCAAGCCGAGGCTATCAGTAACCTGTGCAGAGTCTTTCCTAGTGGGTATATGGTCCAGAATGATCGAGGGGTTAGAGAATTTGCTGCAGAACTTCTTCCTCAAGCTAACTATCTTTCTGCCTATACTCGTGGACATGGAATGAACACTGTAAAGCTGCTACACGACCTAGCATGTTGTGAAGACGACCTTGGTAAAACAGCAGCAGCATTAGGTCATGTTATGCTGTGTTTAGACATTGAACGAACAGAATGCTTGTGGAGCCTGGAGACTGCTCACCGTGAGAATTTCGGTGCGAGTCTTTGGATGAAATTAGGCGATGTCGAACAAGCCAAGAAGCTGAATCTTGCTGCGTTTATGAGGTTCGAAAAGTCTGAAAATCACAACTCTGCGTGGATTGCTTCTGTGGAAGCCTACGCGGCTATCCTATGCGAACAGAACCTATATCCAAAGGCGGCATCGGTCTTTTACCTTGCATTAGATGCCTCGATACGCATACATGGCGAGCGACAAATCCAAACTCTTGCGTGCGCGCGAAACATTGCAACCTGCTTTACTAAGGTGAATTTACTTTGCGAGGCAGAACAGGTCCACCGCGAACTAGTAGAACACTCTGTCGCTATAAACGGGCGCGAAAACTGTCATACTTTAGAATTCGAAAGTTCCCTCAGCATGACTCTCATGGCTCAGAAAAAGTATACAGAAGCCGAAAAGATAGCCCGCACTGTTTTCTCTGTGAGCCAACGTGTTATAGGACAGGATCACCCCCCCACACTTTGTTTTCAAGGACGACTGGCAGACATTCTGTGCAGACAGGGACGAGTTGAGGAATCGGTTCGTTCATCTCGCGAACTCTTAGAGGTTAGTGAACGTGTTTTGGGCTATGACCATAGAGATACAATGAAATATAGGTGTGGTTTGGCCGACTCAGTCCGCTGTATTCCAGAAGGTGTCCCAGAAGCTACAGCATTGTATGGAGAGGTGGGCATGTATTATGGGTACACTCTCGGTCGTACTCATCCTACTGCACTGCATATCCTGCAGAAATTTGCGACTGGCTTATACAAGCAGCACAAAGTGGAATGCTTGGATGCTCAGATAGATCTAGCAGATCGATTCCTTGAAAGGGATGGCGAGACTCAAGGCTTTCTGCGGTGTCGAGATGATTATAAAATATGGAGAGAGGACCTTAGAAAAAGGGGAGTGGACCTGGGAAAGCATAGTCTCCCAACAGAAGCGGACAAGAAGGCATTGGAGGAATGCCAGTCAAAGATCTCAGAGATATCTGAAGATACATGAAATCTTTTGCAAGGCTCAGCCACAAATGATTTCATATTCAATAATTTTCCAGAAGACAAGCAGTCGAAAGCACTTGATATTTGGAAAGTTCGTTTAACTAACCTTGTACTGGTTCTCTCGACGCACGGAAATACTCAATCTAATTTTCTCAAATCTGCGACAGATGCCAATCTTCATCAATCGAAGATTTTGGTTGGTTTTCGAATACAGCAGATATTGATCGTGCCAACAGTCTCTCAGATTAGTCCGCATAATGTGCACAATACTTATCTCATGAAGTGATTTCTTTTTCGAGTGTCGATATCCTTGTTTAACTGTCACTTAGCGTTCGGGTCTGCTGACTGCGATAGAAGTTTGAAGGGGAATTGTGATGCTTGCTTCGATTTAATTATGAACCGGTCTAGAGAACTCATCACTACAAACCCCAATCCCACTCAATCCCACTCCCCCATATAATCAATAAGGATTATGATTCATAATATACTATCAACTCAACCCCTCGCTTATTTCTCACCCACACTCCTCCCCGCAATATCAACCTCAATTACCGGCCCCTTATACGTCCTATGTCCCCAACCTACATAATAAACCGCACTAAGCAGCGCCACCGCTCCAAAAACTAGCGAGCTATAATTCATAGTCTCAGCCGTCGTCGGTATCGTTGTCGGCCAAAACGTGAAAATCAGAATCACCATCTGATATATACATGCGAATACATTGATCAAGATCCCCGCGATTCCAGGAACGCGAAAAGGTCCCCAAGCGAGGTTGCCTGCGGCGCCGGGGAGATTGGCAATTGTGGTGTCGTTTTGGGAGAGCATGACTATGGAGCCGGTGCAGCGACGCCAGAGGAGGAGTGCGCAGGCTATGAAATAGGATGAGTAGAGGGAGGCCAGGGTTAGGGAGATTACGCCGTTGAATGCCGTGGGTGATTTGATGGATATGAGTCCTATTAGGAAGGAGAAGATTGTTGTACATGCGATTGCGGTTGTTGGCATTGAGGTTTTGGGGTTTACCTAAATTGAAATTTTGTCAGTCATTGTCCACTACAGGTTCGGAGAAGTAATATTACTTTACTAACGTGTCTCCAACCAGGAACTCCTTTGTCTCTAGCGAATGCCCATAACATACGAGATCCTGCGGCGACGGCAGCGATACCAAGACCAATGCCGGTGATGATTACGATGACTACCATCACGGCTGTTCCAGCCGTAGATTTTGTTGCATTTAGAAAGACTTGCATGAATGGGTAGGAGAATTTAGTTTGGAATAACTCATCTACGTCTCCGAGGCAAAAGAGAATAGAAATGAGTGCTGCGAATCCGACGACGCCGTTGATTGTGATACTTAGAATGATGGCTCGTGGAACTACTACTGCCGCGTTGTGGATCTCTTCTGACATCTGAAGTCAATCAGGTTGTGTACTTTGCTTCGCTTGGTCAAATACTTACATGATACGCCGAATCCGCTCCTATTATTCTCATTAGCACAGATACTTTCGGGTTTAGAGAATACATGAACATACCAAGGAACGCAAAAGCATTTCCAGCCAGACCCACGAAGAACGAGGTTCCCTGCGAGCTCCATCCACCATCATTAATCCAGGTCGTAAACACTGTTTTCGCACTTGCGTGGGGAGAGAGCCAAACCATCGGTACCATACAAGCAATAAATCCAATGACGAAGACGAATAGTATGGCGCTTTCAACCTTTGGTAGCACCTCGCCACTCAGGTTTATCAGAACGCAGAAAATAGTGATTGCATAGAATAGAAGTGTTCCGTGCCAGAGTTGAGGTACGTAGTTTGGTGCACAGACTTGTATGAGACCTTGGACGAGCGTGCCTAAGATGTATAAAGAGGCGGCGACGCCTGCTTGCCAGCCTGCTACTGTGAGCCACCCTGATGTTGTTAGTTCAATGATTGTCCCAAAACTCCATGAAGTTCGAAAGTGCTCACCTGTAACATAGCTGGCAATCTTTTGGCAATTGACTGGTGCAAGTATAGATACCCAATGATACTGTCCACCTGATGTCGGAGCCCTTCAGAATGCGGTCAGTCACAATGTATATGTCAGAGCAAACTAATAAAACTCACATTGAAACCAATTCTGCAAGACTTATGAATGTGGCTAATGTTCCAGCCCAAACGACTAGGAAGCCATAAAGTAAGCCAGCATAACCTCCGCTTCAAATTGTTAGATAAGGGGACCAATAACGGAGGAATGACTTTTGTCATACTTCACAAGACCAACACCAAATGTTCTACATCTATTAGCTTGTTAAATAAATTAGGACGGTGAAATTCACATGTAGGATCCCGACCAGGTACTCAGAGTGATGCAGCTGAATCCTAGAATCGAGAGTGTGCCGAAAGTTCGCTGGCGTGTCGTTAGACTTTGGGTCGATAGATAAATTTCAATTCATGAACCTTGAGGATAGGCTTTTTCCCTGTGCGGTTGAGATAAATGTTGTCAGGGCTTCCATCGGTATCAGATTCAAGGTGACTGATATTCGAATCATTTAACTCGCGGTTACTCTCTTGCAGTGTTATCTTCTGCTCCATAGTTGTTAGTTGGAGTATATTGGTTCGAGGGCTTTACGATCTCCTATGCGTCGCAGCGTTTAAAGAGAACTACAAGCTCAATTTGAAAGTGTCGACAACCAGTGGGAAGTAGATCAAATAGCAAGATTCTCCAATGCTCAAGCACCCATGTTCCCCAGTTTCCGGGCGATGTCACCAAGTCCCGTCCCAAGAAACCTCATCATTGGCGGGCAATACCCGTGCTCTCTGGCCTGCACCAGCCATAATAGAGACGCCGAATGATAAGCTCGGATGAAGCTTCAGGGAGAACGCCACATGCAATGGCGGTCGCACAACTGAACAAGAATGAGGTTACAGCCGGATTTCGATTGTAAGATTGCGGCCCGAAACGGAATTCCGTGCATCGCTGATTAGCATTGACCAATTAGATATCAGACCTCGTCTACTCGGTGATAAAATTTGTGGAAAGTGAGACCACCGGGTCTGATTTTGTAATCGCTAATTATTTGGGCTTTCCACAAATCAATGATTCTGATACACCATCTTGATCATTAACTTGTCAGCCAGAACACTTTCGTTGAATCCCCTCGCTTGAACGCTGACAATGACCACCCACAAGCTCTCCAAATCGTCCAGCGAGTAGCATGTAGCTGAATTCAGTGTGGCAGCGTAATTTGGCGACTATACTCATTTCTTGTTGATTTCTCGAAATCCAATGTCTAAATCTAGACGCCCTGGTCCACCAAGCCACCAGTCCAAACCACAAGAATCCGCATTCCGAGCCCAACTGACAATAAAAGAGCAAAATAACAGCAGAAGAATGCCAAGTGAATGAAGGAAGATCAAAGCTAATCGGCCAACAGGAAAAAGAAAGTGATTGCAAATTGGCCAGTAGAATAACGCTGATTGCTGAAGACGACCACTGGGAGTGCGTCAATCATACGACGCATGCAACGGCCAGCGATGCATCAACACAGCCGTAAGGGCTGTGGTCCCCTGAAATCAAATGCTGCTCTTTAGAATCAAAGAAAAGAATTACGACGTCCATTCCCAACGCAGCAGCCCAGAATATGATGCCGACGTCTAATTCCATAACATATCAGCTTGTTGCGTGGCTCGCAGCAGTGGCAGTGGTCTGTTATCTGTTGAACAACATCTGGAACATTACAACGCAAGCTTCGAGTTTGTCCGCAATCCCAAACGCTCACTTTTCAGCACCGTATTCGAGACTCTGGCTGTTGTATCTGAAAGCAACGGAAACCGAGCATCATGCAAGAGAACGCGCCCATAGACGTCTCGGACCAATTATTCAAATCGCACCCAAGGAGCTCAGTGTAAACTGTATCGAAAATGGCGTAAAAACAATATATAGTGGTGGGTTTGAAAAGGGGGAGTGGTATAAGGGCTTTGTCAATTATGGGTAAATCCGGCATGATCTTTGCGTATCGCCAGAGTTGACATAACCCAGAAAGTCATTTTTATTCGGGATCGGTCCTAACAAGCTGCATGCTGAGCGAAAGAGAATGCTCTTCCCTATGTTCTCGAATTCGTATGTTCAAACGTCATCTGAAGTGACCAAAATCCTGGATACTATTTTGTTAGAGCGGTTGATTCCGCAGATGAAGATGTGGGCACTAAATCAATCTGTGGTTGACATCCACAGAGAGAATAAAGCTGCCATGATGGATATTACAACTGCTTACTTGTTTGGACTGGGCAATCAGACCAATTTTCTGCTTGATCCTAAGGAGAAAAATAAGCTCACACTATTCGAACAAGCCGTATCCGCGTTATTCTGGATGACGGAGCTTCCAACGCTGGTTAAGCTGTGCTACCTGTTGAGAATCCCGCTTTTATCGACTGAAGTCCTGACATCGTTCCAATCGATAGAGACCATGGTCGCTGAAGTCTGTGATAGGACAAAGCAGAGTCTACTTGAGACTAAAAAGCCCCACACTTCGTTGTATGCGCAACTCCAAGAGAAGCTTGAGCCGACACTTGCTGGACCGGACCTAGATCCAAGTGTTGCAGCAGAAATGATGGACAACATCCAAGCGGGGCATGAAGGTCCTGCCATTACCGTCACATACGTGATGTGTGAGCTATCCAGGAACTTCGAGGTATTGAGCCGCTTACGGCTAGAGCTTTCAAGTTTAGATGCTCATCCTACGGCACAGGATATAGAGAGCCTACCTTTCCTTGACGCGGTTCTGCTGGAAACTTTGCGTCGATATCCCGCAGCCTTGGGTCCGTTTCCTCGTAATGTGCCTTTGAAAGGAAGCAATCTAGGTGGATTTGATATTCCTGGTGGGACAATAGTCAGTGCATCTATATACTGCCTCCATAACAACTCTGCTGTATTTCCAAATCCAGAACGATGGCTGCCAGATAGATGGATAGCTGCCTCGGCTGAACAACGAAAGAGCATGAACAAATGGTTGTGGGCCTTTGGTACTGGAAGCAGAATGTGCATTGGAAGTCATTTGGCTATTCGTAGTACGTAGATTTTGTACCCAGCCAGCTTTTTTATCGGCTAACGGATGTAGTGATGAAAACGTTCATTGTCGCGGTATATTCTGAATTTGACACAGTGATCGTTCCCGAGACCAGTTTCAAGCAAACTTACGGCCTGATAGGCGCGCCTGTGGATAATAAGGTAATGCTTGGTATTCGCAAACAGATGTAAGATTAAGGCATGAAAAGAGTGTTTTTGTCCATTTTTGTCCTGTCATCGTTCGAGCTTGTAATATCAGTCTTGCTGTCCACGAGCCATTAGCCTAAGCTTCAAAAACGAATTGCAATGCGTAACTCCCACATAAATGAACTTGCATTCTCTTTCCCTGAATATATACAAAATTCTGGCTTCTCGATGAGATGATTCTGGCGCAATTGCAAGGTATCCTTCTCCTGGTGAACTTTTTGCACAATAGATGATCATTTCAAGGACAAGATAGGACCCGAGAAACATCACCCCCCATGCCTTAGTCCAAGTCATACTCTGCATACACGCGAGGGTTTTGCTTGGACCAAGGGTGCTAACTAGGAAATAAACCCACCGGAGTAGGTTCTCCTTTTCCAAACCTTTGTATGCCTTTACTGGCATCTTCCGCCCGAAACTACCTTTCATTTATCGAGCAGAGAAGTGTCAAAAAGCCACGGAGTGAAGGCGATTAGAAAGAGGAAGCAAAAGGTATCGAGAGAGCGGATAACTGGATGTCCGATAACGCCGGCGAAGGGATAAAACACGTCCAGACGGTTGTGTTATAACGTTCGTCATGAGGGGAACCAGAGTCCAAAAAGTGGTCTGACATGAAACTTGGGAAGCTGTTTGAGGTAAGGCTGCTGAAAGCGTTAAGTGATAATCCGCAGTAGCTAGTAGGCATAGATATGGGAGCTTAAAGTCAGCAAGAACTGTGGTCTGATTAAACATTATAAAGTCGCACCGTACAAGGGCCTACAAAAGCTCCTAGGACCCTCGAAGGCACTTTGGCTAGACTCGATTATAGCCCTACTATCACGTAAGTACGAGCCTAATCTGCAGCCTCGATAGCACACTTCTCCTCCCTAAATCACTAGAGCTACTAGACGCTACAACCACCCGCCTACCTATCTGCCTACTGTCGTATAGTCTCTCTCTTCCTTCCTTTCTACAGATACTCTTCCAAGACGTCTTTGCCTGTCTTATATAGAGACGTACAAACACCTATATAGCTCTTCTTTTTACTTTCATTTGTCCTTCTATTCTAGGCTTTCTTCTAAGACTCCTATACTATACTTAGAGAGAGCTTAATTCCTCCAAGAGAGCCTATTTCCCTAGAAAGAGGTGTATTTATACAACGCTTCCTATTAGAAGAGAGCAAAAGAGCAAGGTAGCTTAAGTTGCGCCCTTTTTCTTCCTCTTTTAACTGAGGGAAGAATAGGTGGGGAGCAGAAGCTCCTAAGGAGGTGCGGTATTTGCCATCGGATGGAGGAATGGAAATTCGGAAATATGATATCTGGAACAGAAGCTTGAAAACTTGAGCCAAAGAGCAAAGTATGTCCGAGAAAGCAAGATGTAAGCAGAGCGAAGACGGGGTTTGTATTGATCCCGACCTAAGACGTTGGACCCCGCCGATCCAGAGAGATGCCTCTGACAAGGAACGAAGTCAAGAAACCTGCAATAGAAAACCCCATCATGGTGATCCAAATAATTTGCAACGAATCAACATAACTTTGTATGATGTTTTCTTTCCTTTCAGAGTCAGGCATGGTCTTGAGCAAAAGGACAAGACTCGCAGCATCTTTGGAAAGCATGGAAGCATTCGCTGCCAGATCGGCATATCTTCTCAGGTGCCTCTCCATCTGATTCTGGAAGATTGAACCTGCGATTGCTACACCAGCAGATTGTCCGAATAAGCGAAAGAAGGTGTATAGCGCAGCTGCGGTTGGTAGATCTGCATCTGATGCAGTCGCTTGAACTCCTATGCTCATCGCACTCAGATTCATCCCGACTCCGAAAACAGAAGCGACTCCTATGACTACCCAAACCGCGGTCGGGGTATGGACGTCGAGAAGGTAGAGTAGGCCCGTTCCTAACACAGTAAGGGCCCATCCGGACCATATTGCCCATCGGTAGCGGCCTGTACGAGTGATCAAAATGCCAGTGATGACACTGGCGGGACAAATCGAAAATGTCTGAGGTATCTATTGATTATTTAGCATGTCTGTTTTCTTGTCAACGATATGTAGCTATCTACCAATGCGACTCCAGCCATGAGCGGCGAATATCCCTTGGCTACCTCGAAGTACAGTGGCAGGTAATAAAGTTCGCTGAACATCTGTGCGCTGTTTAGCAGGTGATCTCCCATAAACACATGTATGTATGCTAGGACTTACCAGAATCCCTGTTATTACACTACCGAAATATATGGAAGCCGCTGTCCTGTTTGCCATTATTCGTGGAACGACGACAGGTTCTTTTGCCACATATATTTCGTAGAATCCGAATACTATAAGGCCGAAGATTCCAAGAATAAGCGGTACCAAAACGCGCCAACTGTTCCATGGGTACTGCAGACCTCCCTATTTTTCAGGATTAGCAGTGACTTAATGTTCGGGCTAACTAGGTTCTTCTCACCCATGATATTGGAATAAGTATAGCCGTAGGTGATGCAATAACCAAAAATTGCCCAAACCAATCAATCATTTTCAGTTTCTCAAGCATCGATCCAGCCCTGACATGAGGCTCCTTGAACAAAAAGATCATCACGAACGCGAAGCCGCATACTGGGAGAACTACCCAAAAGATCCAGCGCTATATGTTCAGACTTTAGGTCAGTTTATTGGACCGTCGAGAAGAGCTTGAAGCCTACCCATGAGATGTTCTCAACGATTGCACCACCAATAATGGGACCCATGATTGTCCCGATAGCATACTGCATCAATATTACGCCCATCCACTTGCCTCGCTCTCTGATTGTCACAATATCAGTCATGATGACCAAAGTCATTGCAAGTATTCCCCCGGATCCAGCTCCCTGGATAGAGCGACCAAGTAGTAAGACTGCGACTCCATGAGCAACTGCAGAAATAATTGTCCCGACTGTGAAAAGCAACAAGACCAGGAAGAGCAAAGGTTTTCGACCGAATATCTGGGACAATGAGGCGAAAGTTGGTTGAAAAACGCAAGCACACAGAAGAAAGGATGTCCCCGCCCAGAAACCCTCAAGAGCAGAGCCATGAAGACTTCCAATTATGACCTTTTTAGCAGAACGAATTAGCAGTTTTCTGCGAAAAGATGGAGTATTTTCATGCGAACCGGGATCGCTGGAGCCAGAGCCGTGGTCATCAATCCATCCAACAAAGCAATAACACTCAGGCTAGATAAAGCAATATAAAAGATCTTCCCCTCCATTGGCTTGCCCATGCTTGCAGCTGTTGTAGCTTCCGGAGGGGTTTCTATTTGCAGAGGTTGCATCGCAACGCTGGCCTTCAGTCGCGAGTCGTTCATTGAGACGTTTTGGCGATTTAAATTGTACACTGGAGGCGTGGTCAAGTCTCTTAATCAAACAGGCTGTAAGGTTTACTTCTAACGAGATATCTAAGATGAATCCACAAGCAAATCCACAATCTTGGGGTAACTTGTGGGAATGAGGATTGACCCTGACAGCACAGCCTTACGTGACACGGCTTTGGCCAGGATGCCGCTAGAAAACCTCGGTACCAATGGACGATGCTGGTACATGTTATCAGCAACGCAGGAAAACCAACACCCGGACACGTGCTGGATTGATCACTGATCACCACCGCCTGAGATGATAATGCAGTCAGCAAGTATTGGGACCATTGCAGGATGGCAACCCAATAACCAACCCCCGACTGTTGGTGCACATCTTGTGGCACTGGGAATAACATATTTCTAGAGTGAAGGGCAGGATATATACAATGACATTCCTAACTAGTGCGATAAACTCCGATTTACCGAAAACTGAAGAGCCTTTTACTGCCAGCGGTTCTTTATAACACGACGACAACTTGTATTCTTAATCCCTTTTATATAAAGATACTTTAATATAAGTAGAATAATTATGTTTACTTCAATTTATACAATAAGGTAGAGTAGCGCTAAGCTATACTGAGCCTTACCTTATCGCTCGACCTTAAAACATTCACATGCCAGTGAACTTCTCCTAAGGTCGCACAAGGCTGACGAACATCGCGACTTGTTGACGTTACTTTTCCCGCAGCCAATTTTTTGATAAGCTAAACCATCCCTACCTGTCAGACTCTAAATAATTGATATATGCATCATAATCTATGCGGCGCTACTTTAGCGTGACTCACGATTGAAAAGATCGCTCTTCGCACGAACGAACCATTTACCTTTTGATACCACAACCTCTCGCCTTGATCCCATCAATCACCTTATCGAAATACGAGCATCCCGCACCACCATGACCTCACAAAAGCCTTTCCACAATGCCGTCCGTCTGAGTGAGACGACGTATCTTTTTCAACCAAATTTGTGGAGCAAAGATGCGCCGACATTCATACTCTCAACTTGGATGAATGCTGCGCCCAAGAATATTCTCTTTTACGTAGAGAGCTACCAACGCCTCTTTCCTACATCTCGGGTTTTTGTCCTGATCGGCACTGTCTCCAACATGGTATACCGTCTGGAATCCAGGCAGAAGATTAGTCTACAGCCGGTGATGCATGCCCTGTTAGAAGAAACTCTAGGTCCCCTCTTCTTGCACGCCTTCTCAAATTCCGGTGCGCAGCAGCTTGGATTACTTTTACGAACATATAAGGAGATCACGGGGGGGAAAAAGCTGAACGTCGATGGATTGATACTTGACAGCACACCTTCTCGGGGAGAATTCTCAAGGGCTTTTGTTGGCCTGTCTTATCAGGTACCGAGTCAGCATTGGTATATCAGATACCCTGGCGTAGGGCTAGTGCTTCTAGTGGTGACGATTGGTTGGCTTGTCGAGAAGCTGACGGGCAAGGTCAACGTTTTGAGTCAATTCAATGCAGACATGAATGATCGATCGTTGTTCGGCAAGGACACGTTCAAGCAGTACATGTATTCCAAGGAAGATTTGCTGGTAAGCTGGGAAGATATCGAGTGGCATGCAGACATGGCAGAAAGTAAGGGGTGGAGAGTAGGGAGAGCACTTTTTGAAAAGAGCGGTCATTGCAGGCATGGGAAAGGCCTTGGAGAGGAAAGATATTGGAATATCATCAATTCCATTGTTGCCAAGGAAGCAACAGACGGGTCCCGGCAGTCAAAACTTTGATCTTATTCTAAGATAAACAATCTGAATAAATCAATGCTAAATCCAATTCATTGTTCCTGTACGAGAGACAGGGCAAGTGTCCTACTTAATCACACTTGTACTTTCTGCTCACACCAATAATTCTTTATCATCATCCTTCGAATCCTGTCGAAGGTAAAATTTACAAAGACATGGGTACGCCATTTTGGTATTCAATTCAACTTTGATCTGCTGTTGCTTGGGAGAGATCAATTCGATGCGATCGAAAACTTGGTAGAGGCGGACGAGGAGGTAAAGGACTTGTTGCTGGCCAAAAACTCGTCCAAGGCAGACTCTTGGGCCATGATTGAAAGGGATGAAACTCCATGTTTCTGCAGTGTGGGAGAGCCAGCGCTCAGGTTTCCACACCTCTGCATCAGGGCCCCAGACATCGGTGCGCCTTTGGAGACCGAGAACGGAGTAAACTAAGATGTTATTTAGTAATGCGACAAATTCCCGTAAAAGTGAGGAAAAAGCATGTTTTTTGAGTGGACCTACTGCACTGTGTATCTGCTGGAACTCCCACCGGCTCATTCCCGTTGACACCCCCACCCACTGGAAGAGAGGTGTCAACTGAAGCAGTCCGCATGTTAAACCCCACTGCAGCAAATCGTCAGTTCTCTTCTCGAACACCTGTATAACAGGAACAAACATACGACTGTGATACATTCTCAAAGTCTCTTTCATGACGCATTTTGCGTAAGTCATCTCTTGTATTTGGGCTGCTGTAGGCAAGTTGGAAAGCCCACAGCTGTAACAGTGTTAGTAAAGGTTCCAATGTAAAAAATGACTTCTTACACTCGCGATATCTCTTCTTGCAGCTTTGCAGCAACGTCTGGATTTCTTGCCAATTCATAGATAGCGAAGGCCATCGTCATCGAAGATGGATCCTACAAAATTAATCTCAATTCACAAAAGACAATGAAAAAAATACCTTTGCAGCAGTAAGAACCGCTAACAACTGGTCCTTTACAGCCTTAGGGTCTTTTTCTTCTCTGATCAAGGTGTGTACGAGATTGCGGTCATTTTCTGGAATAGCCTCAACATCTTCGAAAGACATTGCCTTGACACGCTCTACAAAGGTATTAATATAATCATTCAGAATTTGCAAAGATTTCCCCGCAACAATATTCATTGGTATCAACGTTCCAATAGGGCTAGAATTTCCGAATTAGCGCAAGATATGAGAAAAATGTTTGAATATTAGTAGTTACCCCAAGAAAATCCGTTTGGTATTCCAATCAAAGACATTCTCCATTGCTCTGCGGAATGACTGGGATATGCTCGGGAGTGAATCTGCTGATTTCCCAAGGAAAACTCTAGTTACCACATCGAGTTGATATCTATCTGTCAGATCATACAGATCCTGAGGCTCATCCTTCACCAAGTGTTTTTTCAACTCTTGAAAATCGATCTCTGTAAGCTCTAAATCGTTTGTTCGAGATTTCGCAAGCTAACACGTTACTCAGTATTCCTCGTCTCGCTTAACAATATTCTCAACCTCACGAGGACTTACATTTCCGCGCAACAAAGTCTTACTTGCTAGCCATTGTGGTCCATCCGCTTTTCGCTTTTCAGCTGGAAGGCTCTAATATGTGTTGAAGTGAAAACTTACTTGTGAAAATAGAGTCACCTAGCACGTTGCTCCAAATACCATGCATGTGGTGTCCTTTAGGCCAGATCGAAAACTTTCCCCATGTCAGCACTCCCATGATCCGGAAGACAGTTTCCTACTGTACATTTGTTGCCATAATGGTCTTGATGTTCTCGGGCGCATCAGTCATTAGGATGCGTCTCCCAAAGATATTGAACTCAATTGTGTGACCAGGATGATTGAGTAACTCCTGTGTACTGTTGGGTTACTTCAGCAAGGTTTTGCCATCAAAAGCCTTCCTTATGTTCCTTGTTATAGCACACAGGGATGACCATTTTGGAACACTCACTATTCGAAGAAGGTATTACGCATGAGGTGCCGGGTTGCCGTAAATAGGACGTCCAACTCTGAAGTACAATGTTAATCTAGAGAACATTTTGATGGAGATTTCATCAATATCGTACGTAGAGGCACCCATGAGGGGACTTGAGAAGATCGAGAGCCTAGGGAGTTGATCTTGATGGTTCTTCGGGCATTCGCCCTTATCATTATGATACTTGCTATAACCACAATGAAACATAATGCGATAAGTGTAAATGGTCGTTCCTGGTACGAGAAATGGGAAAGCCATGAGGACTTGCCCCAAGCCGGTATATGCGAAGTAATTGCCATAGTGATTTGTGAAACGGGCTTAACAATAACGAGACGACAAAATTTTTTAAATATCGTGGTATTCAAAGATCCTTTCTGAAAGTCAAATTTTGATGGATGGGTCTTGGAGAAGCGGAAATATTTTGAAGGGGAAAATCAAGCTGGGAGAAAGTAACGTGCAGAAAAAAGATAAGGTTGTCCAAGAGATATCCTTTCACATACTCAATGGCCTGATGAATCTGGTAATTGGGTAAGCCTGCTGGACAGGAGAGAGGGTAGCAAAAGCTACATCTGCATGGTAGTCCTAGGATAATGCAGCTTATTTCACTAATCAATAAAGTGCGAGTCGAAAGCCGAGCTCTGCTTACGGTGTATAGAAGTTCTACACATGGCACACCAGTGTGTTGCAAGACTGACGGGATACCTCTTGGGATAGAATAACGATGTTCGGCCCTAGGTTTATATTTTTGAATTTTCGGATCCGTTTAAGTAAATATACAACAATACCTCTATCCCAAAGGGTAAATATAACTGTTTAAGGAAGGTGTGTTACAAGGTCGGTTTCTGGCATCAATACCCCAGAAGGGTTTCCCGTCAGTTTTGCAGCACACTGGTGGCACATTAAACTGCGTAATGTACGATTCGTACTTGAATTCTGTTGCATTGCCGCACAGCTGCCTTAGAGCCGCTGTCATCAAATCACGTAGCACAACCATGTTACCCGAATCTGACGTGCAGCAGCGGAACGGATCGGCGGAATAATGCTCAGAAATTCCCTACTCGAGTACACGGTTTTGATGAGCATTTGGAACATGCTGCATGCAGAAATAATATTACGCTGGAGAACATGCAGCACGGCACAGTGTTCCGCAGTCGGTATCCGCGGTGGACAGAAAAGTCCGGATTTTCCAAATCCGTAAATTATAGTATAACTCAACCAAGAAAAATCTCAAGAATAAATAGAAAATGATAAAGTAGTCTAGGAGCAATCTAGTATCCTGAGGATTAATTTGGGGCCTATAAGCCTTACCGTTTTTCAGGTATCTCAAACGCAGCGAGTTTGTAAAATCCGGACTTTTCTGTGCACCGCGTGATACCCAAGGCCTGTATGGGTTGGTACTACACCTATGGCGTGATAATAGAGCATGGTACGGGGTACAACCTACCTTAAAAACATCGGCCCGATGCAGCCCCGAGGCATAAAGGTGTCCTCCGGCTCCGGTCCGAAGACGGTCAGAAAGTGCTACTAAATGTTTACCAACTCTTCGGTTTGACAACCTCGCGGAGCACAAAACAAGTGGCAGCCGAAACATGATACTTCTGAAAATAATTGACGAAGATCGTATATTTCGTCAATCAACCTATCACACTATCACATATTTTGTCAATTATTTTAAGTAAACAAGGCCATTCAAGCTCCATTCGAAGTCGCCGTACTCAGTACAAGATTGGTGGCCAGCTGACTAAAACTTATTTTGTCCACCCCGAGGTAGCACTAAGTTATAGCAAAACTTTATAACTTATTACTTACTATAGTACATTTGGGGTATACCCTACCAAATGGGATACATGTCAGTCCGGTGCCTTACCCAAATCAACTAGCCTGGGTTGGTACTGAAGAGAGTAGGGCTGGGTTGGTACCAGGGTATATCCACCCCATGCGGAAGACTCGCACTGCATAATCAGCTTACTCTGATTACGATTCTGATGATGATCCTACAAATCAGAAGAACTGTCAAAACATACTCGCCGGACAAATGCGTTCAGCTGTGACGGAACAGCGATCAGATCCCTCGGAGAGAATATCAGACCGCCTCTACCAGAAAGACAAGTAATGGTCGGTAAGATAAGGCCTTGCTTTTGTTGACCTGATTTAAATCGAGGCGTGCGAGTCTCTACCAATATATCGAAGTACTGCAATACGAGGCACAAAATGTAAGGTTTCTGAGATGCAATAACAGGGCCATCGAAGAGAGAAAGCACAATTAAGCTGACTGCATTGCATATGTGAATCGGGATCGTAATGAAGCCAGTTGGAAAGGGAATAATGACGCTTCATGTCTGCTTGGGATCATTTCAAACGGACTATGGTATGAAGAGGCGTCGTCTGACATTAGACCACAATATATGCACACACCTTGAGAACTTTCATTGTGAAACTTCAATTTTAAACTCAATTTTGTTGGTAGAGACATATCGTATCATTAAGAACATGGCGACAGACAGTGCCGTCGGCTACGAAGACTTTGTTGAGCTTAAGAGCCACTTAAGTGAAATGAATGGATCAATCGGAAATGCTTTCCCGGATACAAATGGTCTTTTGGACAGTAAAAAGGTTGATGAACTCACGAATGCAGCTACAGTCAATGTCAACGCACTATCTGATAATGGAAGTAACTCCAGCTTCACAGCTGGGGAGAGCAGTAACGGATTCAGTACTCCGGGAAATAATGGTGCCGAGCCTATTGCCGTCATAGGTATGGGAATGAGGCTACCTGGCGCCGTTCATGACTCCGAATCCCTTTGGGAAGCGCTTGTCAATAAGAAGAATGCTCGTTGCCGCGTTCCAAGCGATCGATATAATGTTGACGCGTTTTACAACCCCTCCCGTAAACCACAAAGCGTGGGCACAGATTCTGGGTACTTCTTGGAAGATGTCAATCTTGACGACTTCGATGCTGGTTTTTTCAATCTAGGCAAGAAAGAGCTTGACAGGCTGGACCCGCAGCAACGGCTTCTTATGGAGGTTGTTTGGGAGTGCTTAGAAAACGCAGGGGAAACAAATTGGCGAGGGAACAACATCGGTTGCTACATAGGTGTTTTCGGAGAAGATTGGCTCGAGACACAACTGAGAGATACTCTGGAAATGGGCCCCTACAGAATCACTGGCCATGGAGACTATGTTCTTGCAAATCGAATTTCGTACGAGTTCGACTTCAAAGGTCCTAGGTAGGCCGCATCCTTTCAAAGCGATGATGTATGCATCTCTAACAGTTGTCACAGTTTAGTCGTCAAAACTGGCTGCTCTTCAGCTCTGATAGGATTGCACATGGCTTGCGATGCATTGAGAAACGGTGATTGCACAGCAGCTGTAGTTGCCGGAACGAACCTTATATTGACGCCTACAATGACAATTGCCATGACCGAACAAGGGGTTGTCTCGCCCACCGGCACCTGTAAATCATTTGATGCAAGCGCGGAGTAAGTGTAACCTTAGCTGCTAGGTCTTCACTGCCGCATGCTAACCGAGACTGTAGCGGATATGCAAGGGGCGAAGCAGTAAACTGTGTTTACATTAAAAAACTCTCCGACGCAATCGCTGACGGCGATCCAATTCGGGGCATTATTCGTGCTACAGCGATAAATTGTGATGGCAAGACACCTGGGATCTCATATCCAAGCTCTCAAGCCCATGAGACTCTCATTCGAAGAGCCTACAAAGTCGCCGGAATCAATGATGTTTCGCAGACGGCGATGGTTGAGTTCGTATATTTCCGTTGTTCCGAGCCTGTTTAAGGGGTATTGCTTTTCACACCGCCTAAGTGGCAGAATTATCTGACCATGCAAGATAATTCTGCCACTCGGGCGGTGTGCAACACATTATCCCCTTCACCTCCAGCTCTCGACTCCAGAGCAAACAAGACAAACGTATGCTAATTTGTTAAAGGTGTCATGGTACGGGAACCCCTATTGGTGATCCCTTGGAGACACAGGCAGTGGCACGAGTCTTCGGGGAGAATGGAGTTCTTATCGGTTCTGTAAGTACACAAATCGTATGCAAGCTGTGAATGAAACTAACTGCAAAGGTCAAACCTAATATGGGACACTCAGAGGGTGCCTCTGGATTGACCAGCATGTTTAAAATGCTCATAGCCATGGAAAAGAAAGCCATACCTCCAAACATGCATTTCAAGATTCCGAATCCAAAAAGTAAGTCTGGCAGCCGAACGCGAAGCTATAGTATACTGATTAGGATCTCAGTCCCTTTTAAGGATGCGAAGCTGTCAGTCCCGGTCGAGGTGTCTCCGTGGCCAGTAGGTCGAGAGGAGAGAGTCAGTGTCAATTCATTCGGAATTGGCGGTTCAAATGCCCATGTGAGTCACTGGAAATGTGTGAAACATTGGAAGTTTATTGACGTTTAAGGTTGTACTCGACTCCGCAGCGTCGTGGAACGTCGGAAACAAGACTTCTTTGCTGGAGCAAAGCACATCTTCAAGTCCCGAGCTTCTCGTCTTCTCAGCTAATCATCCGGAATCATTGAAAAGGTTGACTAAGAACTATGCCAGCTACATTCAGACTAAAAGCCCAGTCTTGAGCGACCTTGCTTACACATTGGCTTTGAGGAGAAACCATATGCAATACCGTTCAATTTGTGTTGGTGGTTTTGAGGAATTGACTTTTACCCCTCCCGTCAGAATTGGTGGTCTTCCTACACTTCTCTTCGTTTTCACAGGCCAAGGCGCGCAGTGGGCAGGAATGGGAAAAGAGCTTCTCATCAACTACCCTTCCTTTCGGAAAGATATAGGCGCCTTGAACAAGACCCTGGCTCAATGCGCGCACCCTCCGTCGTGGAATCTCGAGGGTATGTGAAACACTAGGTCAATGAAATGATACTAATTACAATAGATGAGCTTCTCAAACCTAAGGAGACTAGCCTGATCAACAGCCCCGAGTTGTCCCAGCCTTTGTGTGTCGCTATCCAAATAGCCCTTGTCAATCTACTTAAACTATGGAACATCGAGCCTCAAGGAGTTGTGGGGCATTCCAGTGGTGAGATTGCAGCAGCCTATACCTCGGGAATTATCACAGCCGATGAAGCCATCATTATTGCGTATTATCGAGGATACGTCATGAAATCGCAAAAGCTCAATGGAGGAATGGCTGCCATAGGTCTAGGTCATCATGAGGTGTCTCCATATCTTGTTCCGGGCGTCTTGATTGCGTGCGAAAACTCGCCTGATAGCGTCACAATCTCAGGAGATGCAGACAAGCTTGAGCAGGTCATGGCCGCTGTGCAACTTGCAAACCCCGATAAATTAGTGCGACGGCTTCGCGTGGACATGGCATATCATTCTCGTATGTAACAATCTCGCTATCTTCTGCGCGCCAGGGCTAATTGAATTCTAGACCACATGAAAGCAATTGGAGAGGAATACCAAGATCTGATCCAGGACAAAGTATCCAGCAAGAAATCGAGAATTCCTTTTTTCTCAACCGTCGAAGTAAAGCCAATCAGTGATGCTGGAAAGCTGGACGCAGCCTACTGGAGATCCAACTTGGAGTCTCCTGTGTTATTCAGTACTGCCGTGAAATCTATACTAGGTCCGGCAGTGCAGAAAAGTGTATTAGTGGAAATCGGACCGCATTCTGCATTGGCAGGTCCCTTAAGACAAATATTCAACAGTACAACGGGAAGCCATCTCTACACGTCAACTCTTCAAAGGAACGAAAACTGTACAAAGTCATTCTTAACAGCCGTTGGTCAGTTACATTGTCTTGGATTTGACATCGACTTCTCAACCACAAATCAAAGTAAAAGAGTCCTTTCCGACCTGCCACAATACCCATGGCACTACGAACGAAAATTCTGGAATGAGAGTCGCCTCTCAAAGGAGTATCGACAACTACGCTTCCCCCACCATGATATCCTTGGCTCTCGGGTGGCAGAAAGTAACGATTTTGCACCAACCTGGCGTAGCTTGCTGAATTTGGATAACGTTCCGTGGATCAAGGACCACAAGATCCTTACTGATATCGTTTTCCCTGCGGCTGGCTACATTGCTCTGATAGCAGAGGCTATCCGCCAGCTCACAGGTAATGAAGATTGTACCTTCAGGAACGTGACCCTCTCTTCAGCCCTGGTTCTTGATGATTCAAAAAATACAGAGATAATGACCAGTCTTCATCCTAGTCGACTCACCGTATCGCTAGACTCTGACTGGTACGACTTTACAATTTCATCGTATGATGGTACTTCATGGACAAAAAATTGTGTTGGTCAAGCCCGAAAAGGTTTCGAGACAGATTCAGTAGACATCGCAAAGCTCGATGGTTTACCAAGACAGGTTGTCTCCGGCTCGTGGTATCAAGCAATGCGCAGAGTAGGATTGAACTACGGGCCAATTTTCAGCACCCTAAATGATATTACTGCGGGGGTGAAGGAGAACACAGCAGTTGCAATTGTGCCTTGTGCAAATCAAAGCGATGAGTCCCCATATTGTCTGCACCCGGCAACACTAGATCCTTGCTTCCAGTTGGTGAGCACTGCTCTCGCCAATGGTCAATCTCGGAACCTCACTCAACTGTGTTTGCCCACTTCTATAGAGTACCTTTCCATACGGAAATGCTCTTCCGAGGTTCGCATGTTTGCAGAGACGATACCAGCGAGAAAAGGTGTCGTCATCGGAAACGCATTTGGGGCAACCGATGGACAAACAGTGCTAAGACTAAAAGGCTTGAGACTATCTCCAGTGGAAGGCGATGCCGTTGACCTAGACCCGCATGCTGGCATACAGTTGGAGTGGAAGCCCGATATTGAATTCCTTGAAACGAAGGACTTGATACAAAACGTAAAGAACGTGAGAGTTTCGCATATGCTTGGGGAGAAACTTACCGCCCTATGCATTCTTGAGACAAGTTCTCAGAAGAATAAAATTGAGGCCCAACAAGCTCATCTTGGGCGCTTTCTTGAGTGGATCGATCAACAGAAAGATCGCATTGAAACCAACCAGTATCCGTTGGTAGATGGACTTGAAAGTCTTGTAAAGCTCAACGATTCGGATAGAATGAAGCTAATTGAGCAGACTTCTATCGAGCTACAAAGTACTGAGTCAGCAGCAGCGGGCACAGCACTCTTGCGAATTATTCAAAACCTCGGAGGAATCATCACTGGGGAAGTAAATCCTCTCGAGCTCTTGATGAAAGATGATGTCCTCACTCAAATCTACGACTTTGCTGGTTTGTGGGACTACTCGAAGTATTTTAGCGCCCTGTCTCATAACAAGCCACACTTAAGGATCTTGGAGGTCGGTGCAGGTACTGGAGGAACGACGGAGATTGTTCTGAACAACCTACAGTCTCGCTTCGGTGAGAGAATGTACGGGAATTACACCTTCACAGACATATCTGCCGGATTCTTTGGCCCTGCGAAAGAGAGATTCCAAAATTATTCTGCGATAGACTACACTGTCTTAGACATCAGCAAGGATCCTCTCTTGCAGGGGTTCGAGGCTCATTCTTATGATCTAATCATTGCCACAAATGTAAGTGTGTTGTTGAATGATGTTGATCTCTACTGATAAACCTTAGGTTATACATGCCACTCCTGTTCTGGGCGAATCTCTATCCAACATTCACAAGCTCCTGCATCCTGACGGATCTCTCTTCCTCCAGGAGATATGTCCTAGTAAGTAGACTTTTCAGGTTCTGGATTCAAGTGCTAACATATCACAGATACCAAATGGGTCAACTTCATTATGGTAAGTCCCTCAAACAGTGTAAGCCTCCATTGTTGTACTAGTTGCTAATCACCTCGCAGGGACTATTTGAAGGCTGGTGGCTTGGTGCAGCTGATAAAAGACCAGATCAGCCATTTGTCTCTCCAGCGAGATGGGACGAAGAACTTAAGAAGTCTGGATTTTCGGGAGCAGAGACTGTACTCTATGACGACGAAGTGCCTTACCAGGTCAACGCAAACATATTTTCTAAGCCCATTACTGCCAAGAAAGAGCTCCCAGGCAGCAAAAGTGTGACGATACTGTGTGGTAAATCCGGCGTTGAGGTCGAACAGTTGGAAGCTCATTTGAAAGATCGTGGGTATCGTACTGGGATCGTTCACTTCCCTGAATTGCCACCAGCCAACCAAGATGTGATCTCGGTCTTGGATTTAGAAGAACCTTTCTTTCCAAGTATAGAAGGGGAAAAGCTAGCCGACTTCTTGAGTTATGCAACTCATCTTCAGACCGAGAATATAGGGACGTTGTGGGTAACGAAGCCTTCCCAGATCTTATGCGAAGATCCCGCCTACTCTCAAGTTATTGGACTTGCGAGAACCATTCGGTCAGAAGTAGGAGCTTCATTTGCAACCTTGGAGGTAGACAGCTTTACATCCGGTTGGGATAAAGTCATTGATGTGTTTGTTAAATTTCAACACCGAACTAAGGAGGAAGATGTCGATTCGGACATGGAATTTGCAATTTCGAAAAATGTGATCTACACCAGCCGCTTCCACTGGATATCTGTTTCCAAGGAGTTGTCCCAGGCGTCAACCGCAAATCTACCCAAAAGGTTGGAGGTTGAAAAGAAGGGTTCTCTTGATACGCTTCATTGGCTTCAATTTGATCCAAGTTTGTTGGGCCCTAACGAAGTCGAGGTTGAAACACGCGCTATAGGAATGAACTTCAAGGTAAAGGAACTCCATTGCAAATACAACAGTAACGCGATTAACATTTGACGTGACAGGATGTTTTGATCTCCATGGGCATCGTCGATGCTCAGAGGATTGATAGCTCTGGCCTTGGCTGTGAATGCGCAGGTTTCATCCGCAGGGTTGGTAGCAATGTTCATAATCTAGTCGCCGGTGATCGTGTCGTTGTTCAGGCGACGGGCACTTTGGAAACGACTGTAAAGGCAAATTCGAAACTCTGCGTAAAGATACCAGATAGTCTTTCATTTGAAGATGCTGCGACAATGCCAGTGGTCTATGGTACAGTCGTCCATTCTTTACTAGATCTAGGTCGAATGGAGAAGGGTCAGGTAGGTTATGGTTTGCAATTCAACTTTCCACAATAACTAATGGTGCTTAGACGGTGTTGATTCACTCTGCTGCTGGCGGTGTTGGAATCGCTGCAATTCAAGTTTCTCAATGGGCTGGTGCTGAAGTAAGTCTACCTATGGGACAGGCATGAGATAAGTCTAATTCATAATAGATATTTGTGACGGTGGGGAATGAAGACAAGGCAAAATATCTTGTCGAAACATTTGGCATTCCTCGAAGTCATATCTTCCATTCAAGAGATGCGTCATTTTTACCGGATATTTTGAAAGCAACCAATGGAAAAGGTGTCGATATGGTCCTCAACTCATTATCAGGAGACTTGCTTCATGCGTCTTGGCAATGTGTGGCCCAATATGGAAAAATGCTCGAGATTGGGAAGAGGGATTTCATAGGCCAGGGAAAACTTGGGATGAGTCTTTTCGAAGCCAACCGTTCCTTCTTTGGCATTGATCTTGCCGTTATGGCTGAGGAGCGACCAGATGTTATACACAGGTAAGATAATTCTTTCAGATCAAAAGGATAAATCTCTAATCATATGAATACAGACTCCTCAAGAAAGTACTCCAGCTATACGAGCAAGGAGCTATCAAGCCCATCAGACCTATTAAGATATTTGACGCTACTGATATCAAAGCAGCATTCCGTTATATGCAAAAAGGACAGCATATGGGGAAGATTGTATTGAGAATGCCGCTTGATCACGGAGACCTTTTGACGAATTTGGCCCCCTCCAAATTGGTACTTCGATCGGATGCTTCGTACTTGATGATTGGAGGTTTGGGAGGTCTTGGAAAGGCGATATCGACTTGGATGGCAGAACATGGCGCGCGGAATCTAATCTTCCTTTCACGATCAGCTGGGAAATCAGAGAGTCATAAGCAATTCTTTCGCGAACTGGAAACCTATGGGTGTTCAGTTCAGGCTTTTGCTGGAAGTGTGTCTGTTCTGGCAGATGTCGAGAACATGATTAAAAATGCGACATTGCCGATCGCAGGTGTGATGCAAATGTCGATGGTCTTAAGGGTAAGTGATATTATGAATGTAGACTTGTATCGCAGCTGACCATAATAGGATCGTTCTTTTGCCCAATTTTCCATCGAAGACTGGAACGCCGTGGTTGCACCGAAGGTTGAAGGGACCTGGTGCCTACACAACGCCTTGGATAATCACGCCTTGGACTTCTTCATTCTTTTCAGTTCCTTCTCGGGACTTGTTGGACAGTGGGGCCAGGCAAATTATGCCGCTGCCAACACGTTTCTCGACGCATTCGTACAATATCGACACAGCCTCGGTCTGCCAGCATCTGTCCTTGATATTGGATGTGTGGTGGATGCAGGCTACGTAAGTGAGAATCAAGCAGTCATGGACACGTTGCTTTCGACATCGCTCCATGGATTACATCAACAAGATGTGCTCGATTCCCTACATTTGATGATGGCACGATCTTCCCCATCATCAATCGCTCTCCCCGACTCGTTTTCCAACCCGAGCCAGGTGGGTATCGGCCTTCGCTCGACTATGCCGATAACATCACCTGCAAATCGCAGTATCTGGAAGCGTGATCCTCGAATGAGCGTGTATCGCAACCTCGAATCTGTAGACGCGAGCGCAGCTACATCAGGGAATGAAGCGCTGCGACTCTTCCTGGCATCTGTCAACGAAAAACCTAGCTTGCTTGTCGAGGCCGCAAGTGTCGAGTTTCTCGCTCGGGAGATAGGCCTCCGTTTGTTCATAAGTCTCATGAAGCCTGAGGAAGATCTTGATATCAAGATGTCCCCGACGGCCCTCGGGCTAGACTCGCTAATCGCTATAGATCTGCGGAACTGGTGGAAGGAAAGCTTCGGGTCGACCGTCACCGTACTCGAGATGATGAATGCTAAATCTTTCGAAGAGTTGGGCGCACTTGCCGCAAAGAAATTATTGGAGAAGCTATCACCCGAGAACGGCAAATCAGATGAAGACATTGCTAGGGAATATCTGGCCATGAAAGCGCCTTAGTGTATTTAGATTCCGTGTAGATCAGCGATTGACAATAAGAAATTCATGCTAATACCACAATCATCAAATCCGAGCACAAAAACTCTCTCTGCATCTTGAAACTGAAATTGGAAGTATCCAGAAAATAAATCAAAAGAAATAACGATTTCGTTCTCCTCCATCACCCATGAAACTTCCTCATATGCCTATCCCGGTTGTCCTTCCTTGGAAAGAACTTTCCACTCGCAGAAGAACTATGGTAATCGCACGCTTTCTCTGTGCAATGATATTTCGGTGCTCGCATCTTCTCATGATGATTGAGGATATGCCTCTTGAGGTCTTTAGGAAGCTGGAATGTCCAGCGACATGGTGGGTACGGACATAGATGTCTGTGATCGGATGATAGCATATGTTTTCTGAAGTACAAGATGGTCAGCAACTGAATCACAATGCTTTCGGAAGCAGCTCCTTAACTTACTTCAGATATCTCGTGGAAGAGAATGTCCGAGGACATTTCCGGCACGCAGATCCCGACGTGCATTCCCACGCTCTTTTTTCTGCCGGCATATCGGCATGAACTTGCAGAGGTTCTTCAATACGATGTAGAGGTTGAGTTG